AACTGTCAAGAACCTCCCAGGTGTCTTCAGCTAAGTGAGGTTAGGCCCACCAGGCAAAAAGAACAGCAGAACTTTGGTAAGTGGGAGCAGAAATAACAGCTTTGATCAGATTTTTGCTTAAATGACACCAACTGGCTACTTCATAAAATGATGGGTTCATCCTTATCATCAAAGAACTTGGTAAGTGGGTGGATAGTGCTTGATATAGACCCTCATCCTCAAGAAAATGTAAGCATTGACTTTCTCATAGACACAGGAAAACAATACAGCCTGTGGTTTTTGATGACGATGAAGCACCATTTTTAATCACTTTGTAGTTTTAAAACTTGAACAATGAGATAAGAATTGAAAAAGGTATGTTGCATGGCTACCTGGAACATCTCTGAAATTACCATCTTTGGAAGGGATAAGTGATAGGAAAAGATGACTTGAATGTGAGCTGGGTACTTGCTTCTATATTTGGCTTTTTGCCACTGCTGTGAGACCTGTCTAAAATAAGACACTGTCAAAATCAAAATCAGATGTCAGGTTTTAGTCTCAGTAACACTCTGGTTTCCTTCTTACCCCACTATCTAATGATCTTGCAGTGTGCTAGTTCCAAATAGCTTCCAAGTAATTGTATCAAATTAGGATCCATTTATTTGGTCATCAGAAATTGATGTTTTCTCAGTAATAAGGTCCTTGCCCTTGAGGAGCTCACAACCTACCGTATTTGCCGGCGTATAAGACGATTTTTTGGCCCTGAAAAATATGCCTCCAAGTGGGGGGTCGTCTTATACGCCAGGTACACTTCAGATAGACTGCCCATAGTGCTTGCCCCGTGCCATAGTGGCCTCCCGATGCCCGCCCACTTCATTCCACATACCGTTCAGGCATCAGCAGCGCTGCTGGGTGTATGCTCGGCTGTTATGCGATTTTGCTGTTATGCGATTTTACCACACTCGCAAAATTGCACACAGCCGACCATACACCCAGTATGATAGCGCAAAATCGCGAATCGCGATTTATGTATATGTTTGATTACATACAGCCTTGTGACAGTTTTCCTGCATGTCATAAGCATTTGAATATAAATATAAATGTTGAAATCAAATCTGATATTGTTTTACCTTTTATTTGGTGTGTGGAAGGTGTGCGGAAGGGGGTAGTCTTATACGGCGAGTATATAACAAACTCTGTATTTTGAGTGGAAATGTTAGGGGGTCGTCTTATACGCCCAGTCGTCTTATACGCTGGCAAATACGGTATTTGAGAGACAGCATGTTTGGTAACTGAATATCTAATATGATGAGTAGTGTTAGAAGTCATGCACAGAGATCATGGGCCAGCTTGCACTCTCTTAGCCATGAGATTAGCCCATAGACCCACACATAGAATTCATATTGAAAACACTGTTCCCTGCTTGTTGTGTGCTTTGGAATAACAGAGGTGCGAAGGGCTGCCTTATCAATGTATGCCCCCATTATATTTTCACTTGGTATACTATATGAGGTTTTTGGTTGTTTTTTTTTAAAGATTTTTTTGGGGAGTTGGGGGAGGGGAACAGCGTTGGGGAATCGGAGAAGGGGAACAGACAAGTTCCTGTCCTTTTGTTCTTCAGTCTAGTTGTGGAGGACATCACTTCACTGGCCCATGTTGGTATTATCATTGCACTCTTCCCAGGTTATGCACATTGGTCGCTGGGCACTGGACAGCCGCTCATGGCAGCCACTCACGGTAGCTTATGGCAACCCACTGCAGCAGGGGCTGCAGCCTACACCGTTGCCGGCGACTCAACAGCATGCCCAGCTCCAGGTTGAGCTGTTGTTCACCATCTTAGCTGTAGAGAGCACAGCGTCACTGGCCCACATGTGGGATCTGGAAACCCCCCACCCCCCATTTCATTTACTTTATATATGAAGTGCACTTCAGGAATCAGAAAGGGAAAACTCTCCTAAAGGGATGCAAATTAAGTTAGATTAAGGTGAAAGTGTCCTATCCCCTGCTCTAGAGCATGAGCCTTTAGAGTGAGATTAAGAATGTTTCTCATCCTCTCAGCCATCCCCCTTTCTAACCCAAACTGAACAAAGGGAGAGAGGAAGGTGTCCAGAACAGCTTATGGAATGATGTTTCCATTCAGCTCAGGAGCAGGCTTCAAGCACTGCCTTTACCATTATAGAAAGCCATGGCAAGGGAAAAACTGTCTTTGAAGTAAAGCTTGGCTTCATATGATCTGTCACATAGAGGTCACTAATCATTCTCTTTTCTTGTTTTGCAGTGAACGAGATAATTGGGAGAGACATGTCTCAGATTTCTGTTTCCCAAGAACAGGGGTAAGCAGGCAGTCTCCCCTCCCTGGTCCTGATTCCCTGGATTTAGGAAGATCCGACGGGCTCTGACAGTCTTGCTGCCACCTCGTATCCACCACATACTTCTCAGCATGTCTCTCTCCTTGGACCTTGGGATTCCAACTCTGCGGCCTTCAGGACTGGTGCCAGGAGTTGGGATCACTGTTTGTGGGGAAAGTAGCATTCCTCCACCCCAGGCCTTGGGTAGATTTTGTTAAAGAACAGGAGCAGCCTAGGCTGTTTGTTTGAGCTTTGGGGAAATGAGCTTTGCTTTGTATTTTTGAATAGGATACTTGTATATGATGGGTGCTTTCAGTGTGAATGCAGCAGCAGGCTCTTCATTAGAGGTGCTGCTTTTGCCAGTGACCTGGTTGCTTAGCTAGGGTTGGTGATTTGTACTGCTTTATGGTCATTTGAAGGACCCTTTAGCTTTGATATTTTAAAAATAGGAACTTTTGATAAAACCTTCCAGAGGCAAACAAAAGAAAAAAAATTCTCCCAAGCCCACACCTATGCCTCAGAAACTCAGCATGTGTCCTGAAGTCTTTCATAGATTCATAGGAAATAAAGCCAAATGTAGCTCATACCTCTTTATAAAACTGTTAGATAAAATAAGAGACCATTCCAATCATTGAAGTGTTGGAATACAAAATGACATTCCAGAGCATAGCCTTTTTGTAACTTTCTAGGTAATCTTCCTGCAATCTCTCCATACTGACTCCATGTTAAAATTGCTTTTTTTCCCTCAGGGCCTTGGGTAAGATAACTACATATAAGGTGACTTTGAAAGGTGAGGTTTTAGCTTGGTAGCTTTCATTTCCTGCTATCCTATAAACAAGTAGGCTTTGGAGTGCTCTTCCCTTTTGTGTTCTCTGGTCCCAGACCTTTTCCAAATGGGATCATTTGCATTTGCCTGCTGTAACCTTTGAAGCCACAGTCTCATCATGATGGTTTAGGCAACTTTGGTGGTTTTCACTCATCTCTAGGGGCCAGGCTGTGTCAGGAACTAAGCACAAATGAGCTATGTATGCTTCAGGACAGGAACAGAGAAAATGCCAGACTGCAGATAGGAAGCTTTGAAGATTCAGTGGCATGGAAGGCTTGGTCCTTATTCTGTTTACAGCCTAAAATGATTCTGGCCTACCCTGTTCTATCTGCATGGCCTAAAAACCAGCCTTTTCTCAAGAAGGCTTTGAGGCAAATCCAAAAATGAGGTAACATCATAGACCTGACCCTCCAGACCAAAGATGCCCTGGTGCTGCTGTGGGTGAGGCTGGTGCCCAAGGCAGGGGCCAGCAAGAAACTCCAGCCTGCTGTCTACCAAAGGAGGTGCCCAACTTGGGTGCTTTTTTCAAGCCCTGTCCTTAACCTTCGTGTTAATGGGATGTTACTTGGCCAAGGCCTGGGCCTATTTCAAAGCCTCTGAGATTTGCCGCAAGTTTTCATGTGAAGTGATGTACTTTCATTTATTCAGGAAGCAAATTTTTTGAGTGCCTACATGTGAGACAATGTGCTGGGCTGGTCAAAGGCTTGATGCTGTTGTTCCAGGGGATTGTGGGTCCTAAATGCCAGGATTCTCTGCTGAGGCCAAGTGAGTTCTGGATAGAGGGAGCCGGCTCATCACCTACCATCTGTAGTCAGCCAAGGAGCTGTTGACCCAGGATGAGAAAGTGTGGGGTTTTTTTTTCTTTAAACCATGATGTTTTAGATTCTTCCCTTAAAACTAGTTAAGAAAAATGTTTTTCCATTAGCAAATCACTTTGGACCCTCTTAGAGCTGGGTGTTTTCATATTTTCTTTGAAAGTGAGTTTTGTGTCAGTGTGGATAATGAGATTTTTCAGGGCCTGTGGTTGGGATCCCTCAGCTTCCTTTCAAGGTTGGCCCCTGAGATGACGTTCCAGAGAGCTGGCCAGACTTGCCTGTATCCTTTTGCACCTGGTGTAGCTGCCTCATATGGGATTCTTGCAAGAGTTCTCCTTGCAGGATCCCTGGGGAGTTGCTCTGCTGTCCTCAAGAATAAAAGCCTCTATGATCCAGAGTTGCTATGCACCAAATTTTGATGCCTTTTAAATACCTTGATGCCTGTAGCACTAGAAATGCTTTCCTATTTAAAATAAAAGTTAAATTTTAAAATAGAGCTTTGTATACTACATAAGCAGTTTTGTATCAGCTTTGTAAAAGCTTTGGTGTTAAGAGTCAATATTTTTTTGGCTTTGTAGATAAAAGAGTTAAAAATTTTTGTGCAACATAGTGGTGTTAAAGCACACATCCACTGGACTATGCAAATTGAGTTCTAGTAGCAGCACTGAGCAGCTGGGCATATGCTAGCACCCACCCCTCCCCCCTCCAGCCCGTGAGAGATCTTGGGTTGAGGAATGGGATGAGAGCCTTCTGCTTACTGGAGATGCAGAGAAATATGGCTGAAAACAGCTTTAAAAGGAACAGATGTCTCCAGGATCACGTGTGGTGCTGCCTGGGGTGCAGCCCACCCCTGCCCAGCGCTAGTCACTATCACCAGAGCTCTGCTGGGTCTGGCTGTGAAGCCCTGTTTTGATACTCAGAACAGATGGTCATCTTTAAGGCTCAGATGGGCTCAAACTGAAACCTTGTTATTTTTTATAAAATGAATGATGTTAAGGAACTGGTTCTCAGTTATGTTTACAGCACTCGGGATTGTGTTTTCTTGTACGTTTTGTATTTTAAAATCTTTTATAGGAGTACAGTGCTCCTTACACAGATACAAAGGGAAGAGCCAGCAATTCAGGCTCCTCAGTTACAGTGCTGAAATAATAAACGGTGACAGGTCAACAGTCTCCTTGAAATCTGCCTGAGTTTTCCTCCGTCTGGGGCTGGTGTGGAGCCCCTCACTTTGGGGGCCAAAGCTAAGGGCACTTCGGCTTTTAAAAAGTCCACAAGGTTAGGAGCCTTTGTTTATTTTATGGAGGAGAGGGTAGAGTTCCAAATTCTTTCCGAAGCTTCAGTTCTGCACCCTGTAATGGGTGCAAGGACATTCCACGGTGTATGCTGAGTTCAGGATAACTGGCCTAACCGAGGTGTGGATGAAAAGTAGGCAGAAAGTCCCCTTTAAAAGTCAAGCCTGAGTTTTTACGTGAGGGCCTCCTGCCCCCTAGTGTCTTCTGGGGATACTGCAGTACAGTCCATCAAAACAGTCTGTGGTTTTGCCATCTGATACTCCTTAAGCCATGTTGGAGGGGCTAGCATCCTTAGGTGAGATCACCCGACACAACGTGGCCACCGAGGTCCAAGTATCCTAGGGGCTGGGGCCAATGCTTTCTGTTTCTCTGACCCCACCATTGGGATCTCTATTGAGAAGCTCCCAGGAGTCATGCATTGAAGGCACCAGGGCTTATGTTTTTAAAAAGGCAAGCCTGCTATGGACGGCAGCTGCACAGAATCTGTGGGCATGGGCCATAGCCAGAACAGATCAAAGGCTCTCTGGGTACTACTCAAGAGGCGCAGATCAGGCCATTGGGAGTAGGGTAGCACCATTGCATCCCCAGCCCTGCACACAGGGTCCAGCCATCATCTTTGGGGTGAACAGCAGAGCAATTAAGTAGGGGATGGAGTTGGGGCTTGAGCTCCTCTGGGTGCCTTCTGAGAGCTTGGACAAGCCAGAAAGAAGCCACCAGGTTGAGGGCACTGGTTCTCTGGACGCAGGAAAGACATGTTAGCTGAGGATATCAGCCAGCTCTTACCTTCTGGCTCCCTCATCTACAAACACACCCACTCTTTGGGGGCCTGTACCACAGTGCGAGGTGGGTCACCAACAGGCATCAGGCTGGTGTAGTCATCAGGGGCTAGCTGTAGAAGGGACAGAGATTTAGGGCAGGGAGCTCCAGGCTCAGCCAGGTCCCCAAGCCCTCCAGCCATACCTCACCTGGTAAGCCTGGAAGACGCTGAGCAGATCCTTCATACCAGCTGTGTATGGGACACCCTGCATGCGGACCAGGGCTCCCGGCTGGGACAACACTGAGGTGGGAGCGGAGGCCAGGGCAGCAGGAGGCGTGGTGAGGTAGCCCACAGTGGTGGGGGAGACTGGGGGGCTAGGGTGGGAGAGGCAGGGGTTTAGTAGTACAGTCCCACATACAGCCTAGACCAAGATGTGCCTCCCTCTTCCCTTGCCTCTGCCTGTGCTTAGTTCAGATCCTCCTCCCTAAAACCCCTGCCTCTACACTCATCTCTACACTCTAGTTTGTAGATGGCATCAGCCAGCCCACACCTGTCACTCCCTTGTCTCACAGACCTCAGGTAATTTGGCCCAGGAAGGGGATCGTGTCCCTCCCTCAAACCAGCATGGACTGTGCTGTTCGCTTAACAGCAAGGTACCTGGGGTAATAGGCTGTGTAGTTCATGTAGAGTTGAGTGGCTGGCCCTGGGTAGTAGGCAACAGGGGTGGGGGCAGCGGGTACCCTGGCAGCTGGGAGCAGTGCCGAAGAGGGATAGAGAGCTGCTGTCTCAGTGGGAATGAGTGTTGGGGTGGCCTGGAAGGTGGCGTAGGCAGGTGGCGAGAGGCCTAAAAGAAATAGCACATCTGCAAGGATCCCAGCGCTACCCTGGGTGGGCAGCCAGAAAGGAGTCCCTTCTGTATAAAGTGAAGGTTGTAACAGCCTGGTCCCCACATGCCTCCTTCTTCCCCAGCCCTGAGACACTCACAGGGCAGCTTGCAGGGTGGAGGGGACATGCCACTGCGGCCCAAAGTGCCCCCCATCAGCACACGGCTCATCTCCTCTGTGGAGCAGGGGACCACCTCCACGTAACGTTCTTTCATCACTTTCTTATGACAACGCTGAGCAGCAGCTAAGGCTCGCTCTGCTGACGTCATCTGGATGAAGGCATCGCCCGATGGCCGGCCCTGTGTACACCTTCTTGTAAGCAATCTGTCCTGTTACAAGAGTGTTTTACTCCCAACCACATACCCCTCCCTCCCTAACTATGTGTATCACCCCCTACCCCTCCCTCCCTAACTATGTGTATCACCCCCTACCCCTCCCTCCCTAACTATGTGTGTCACCCCCTACCCCTCCACTGGCAGCAGCCTCACCTGCTGGTTGAGCACCATGTGCACACCATGGGGCCGAATGTCAGCTGCTGCCTCCCCCAGAAAGCTAAGGATGTCTTCGATGGTGGCTGTGTAGGGCAGGCCTCGAAGGCGTACACAATCTCTCCCAGTCCCAGCTGCCAATGGGAAGGGGATGGGCAGCAGTGGAGCAGTCAGTGTAGGAAGGAGTGGACTGGATGCATAGCGGTTCAGGACCTGGTGAAGAAGGCAACAACAGGCTGGTCATGCCAAGTAGCGCAGGGACACGGGGAATGGAAGGGGCACCCTGGAGAAACACATGGCGGGTAGGGGAGCCCTGGGTGCTCACCTGCTGCACCTCAGCTGCAGTGCTCCTGAAGAGTTCAATGTATCGCTTACCCAGCATGCCCTTGTGCCTGCGCAGTGCAGCCTGTGCCAGCTCCTCACAGGCAAAAAGTGCAAAGGCATCACCAGTGGGCCGGCCATCAGGGTGGCGTACAAAGAGCAGCCCATCGGCACCCCCAGTCACTGGGCACTCGGGCCCCAGGAAGCCCAGCACATCTGCTGGCCCAGCCGAGAAGGGCAGTCCCCGCAGCCTCAGGATCACTTGGTCTTCCCGTGACAGGAAACGTGCCACCTCTAGTGATGTGCCTTGGTGGGGGTGCATGGGAGTTACCTACTGACTTCATGCCCTTCCAAATACCCACCCACACCTGGCACACGGGAGCAGAAAGGCAAAGGGTGGTGGGGAAGTGGGACATGGGTTAAGAACCAGAGGGAGCTAGGCACTGCTGAGGTCACACTCACCCCCTGCAATCTTTACAAATTCCTCTCCTGTCGCTTTATATACCTGTGGGTACAGTGGGGACAGCCCATGGGTCTCAGGCCTGACTGGCCTCAGCTCTGCTCTGCTCCACTCCCAGCCCAAAGCCCCACCTCGATATAGCGGACACCCATGTGGTGCTTGTGTCTCTGCAGCGCTAGGTCCCGCTGCTCGCTGTCCACAAAGCGGATGAGGGCCTCGCCATTTCTGCGGCCCTGGGCGTTGAGGCAGAGTGCTACACCACCCCTGTGGAGCCAGTGCTGCGTTAGTGCCTCCTGGGTAGGCCTGCCCTCCTGGGCCCACCCGTCCTGCTGCACTCACCTGGCAATGTTGAGCCCTTTGAAGAAACGAGCCACGTCCTGATCTGATGACTGCCAGGGCAGCCCACGGGCCCGAACCACTGTCTCACTATCCACCACGTCAGCCTTGCTGCTGTGTGGGCAAGGCACAGGGTCAAAGCTGTCCAGCTGTTGTCAGCCCCACCCTTGCCCCACACTCACCAAGGTCCTGTCTCATATTTCTGCTTTATCACCTCGGGCTTCGAAAACAATTGACCTGAGAGGAGATGGCATGGGGGTCAGCAGGGTCTGGTGGAGGGGCTCTCCCCACCAAGCTCTGCAAAAAGAGGACAGTTGAGGGCGATGAGGTGGCAAAGGGGCTTCCACTTTATGGTCTCTCAGAGAAATTAACAAGTGGAGAGAGGGACTTCGAGGAATTAATAGGCAGGCGTTCACCCAGCCCTGAGAGAGAGCAGGTGACAGGTGGTGAGGGGGACCTTACCACTCGGCTCTTCAAGCAGGTGGAGGATGATAGCTACCATTGTCTTCACTTCCCATACCCCAAAGTCGTCCTCTGTGGCATCTGTCTCCAGCCCCAAGTCTATGGGCAGAGAAATAATAATAAGAAAGAAAAACTCCCAGCACAAGAGGACCAGCAGGAGCACTAATCCTGGCCCCACCTAGGCCCAAGTCTACATAGACACATGCAGAATCCCAGCAAACACATTTGTTTTGGCCCAGCTCATGTATGCCCTTACAGGTCCCACAGCCCAGATATATGTAGACTTATGCCCACGTTCCAAATACACCCCAGCACAGACAGACGTGCACTTGAGGACTCAGCACATGTCAACTTGCATGCGTTTATATAACCCACCAGCAAGCACATACTCAAGACACTTATAGCCTACAGTCACCCCTCCACTTTAACCCCACTGGGTCATAGATACCCTGTGCCATGGTGGCCACAGTGAGGTCCCTGGCAAGACGGGCGCTCGGGTGCTGTACATGGAACTCTCTGCGGAGGTCGTAGAAGGAGAAGAAGGTGTCGGGGAGCACCAGGTTCTGGGGGCACATGTGAGTGGGGATGAATGGGGGGAACTGAGCTGCGCTGCCCACCCCCATAATGGGGGTCCTAGGAACCCTACCCCATATTGTGTTCTCAGTGGCATACCTTCCTGGAGGCCTCGGGGTGCAGGACCTGTCGCAGCAGCTGCTGCCCATCAGTGCAGAGCACGTAGGGGGCCCCGCCCAGCAGAGCCACATCCCCGCTCACCAGCTGTGAGAACTGGGGATAGGGAGTGGGGAGAGACAGACACAGACTCATAGCTGGGCAGGCAGGAAGAAAGGGTGCAGGCTGCAAAGCTGGTTCAGCCAGATGTTCAGCCCTACCCTGCGTCGGGAGTAGGTGGCCACGCCTGTTGGGCCTGGCTCCATGTCCCCATTCTCCCCCAGTCCACTGTCACCTTCTCCAGGCCAAATGGGGGCAGTGACATATCACCCAAGCCCCCATTGCACACACCACAGGAGTCTGGAGTGGGGCCAGAGCAAACACCTGGTGGAGTGGGACAAGCAGGTGGGAAGGGGCGGGGCAAAGCAGGTTAAACCTGTCCCTGACCAGGCACCACCCTCAGACAGGTGGGGGAGGCCCAGTCCTGCCTGAGGCCCATGTGGCTCACGGTCAACGGCAGCCACGCCTCTAAGTCTGACCAACCGAGGGCCACAGAAACTCCAAGGACAGAGCTCCACACCTGGACACCAGGAGCACCGTGAGCTTTGACCCATACACCATCGACCGGCTGGCACTGAGCTGTTTGCTCACAGAGGGGGTGGCACTCCTGAAGTTGCCCAGCCCCTCCCCCAGCCTCCATCCCTGCTGGAGAATAGGTATAAGCACTAAAAACAGGCCCAAGAACTTCCCCCACGCTAATTTTACAAGCTACAATCTAAGGCAGGCAGAGCAAAGCAACCCAGCTGTCCTTCAACACACTCCCCAAGTAGGGGCTAGCCGGGAAGCCGTTCTGGAATACACTAGGTTCAGCATCTTTGTGTCTCCATTTCCTCATCAGGAACCACCAGAATTGTTGGAAGATAAAAGAATTTGTGCATATGAAGCACTTAACTCATTACACTCGAGTCTGGCAGGAGGTGAGCACAGTAGCGAAGATAAAAAAAATGCAATGGGAACCGCCTCCCACTTAAGCTGGGGCCGGGAGTCACCCTAGGCCTTTGCACTCAGGAGGCAGGTAGCCTCCAGGCGGGGTCCGGACAGCGCCCACGCCTGGCCAGCCGGCCGGGACAGGCCTAGACGAGCAGCTTACACCTGGCGGCGTCTGCCTCTGGGGCAGACACCGCCCTACGCCCCCGCTCCAGCGTCTCCCAGGCGGGTGGGTGGGCCGAGGACGAGGACGCAGGCGGCAGGGACCGTGACCTATGACCAAGCCCAAGGCACTCAGCCCTTTCGGCTTCCGGCTGCTGTTCTGGGAGACCTGGCCAGGCTGGTTCCCGGAGGCGTCTCAGTCTCAGCCTCGCTCCCCCGCCGGCCAGGGACTCTGGGAAGGGTCTCACGGCCTCCATCCCCACCCCCTCAGTAAGGTGGATCTGGAAAGGCTGAAAAGCAAGACGCCACTAGAATGGCCCGCACACGCGGACACACACACACACACGAGGGAGTCGCTGAAAGTTTCAAACAACAGGCACCCGTCCTACCGCCCAGGCCAGTTAGTCGCGGTGCGCCAGGCCTCGCCTCCTGCCGCCTCTCCCGCCGAGAAATGTCCCCGCGGCCCAGCAGTGTCTCCACTCACCCCGGCCCCGGCGCTCACCTGCTGCAGCACTTTGTCCAGCGGCTCCGCCCGCGCCAGGCTGTCGGCGCTCAGGCCACTTGCTTCGCGGCACTGGGGGCTCAGTGCGGCCGCCTCGGCACGAATCAGTGATTTGTGCAGCGTCCCCACCTGCGAGCGGCGGAGGAAACCTATCAGCCACTACGCCCCTCGGATCCTGAAGACCCCTGGGGACTTCATCGTCCCCTTTCCACCATACCTGGCGACTCCTCGGCTCCACCACTTGCCACACTAAGAGTATTAAGTCGGTTTCGTCGGAACCCAAGTCTGGCCCCAGCGCACCCGCCGTGGCCCCGAACAGTACGACCAGGGGTCCAGGCTCTGGGCGGAGGTCGGTGGTGGAGTTTGCGTCGGGGTTCGGACCCGGGGGCGGTGGCTGGGGTGGCGGCGGAGTCATGGCCGCAGAGAAAGGGGGCGCTCGGCCACACACACGCGGACCGACGAGGCGCACGCACGCACCGACCGACGGCAGACGCGGATCAGCTTGGGCGGGACACCGTGTGTTGGGGGCGGCACCTACGGCCCGGCTGGCGCAGTGGGCGCTGCTGAGACCCGCCCGCGGCGCCCCGCGAGGCGGGGCAGCTACCGGCCCCCGCCCTCTCTGGGCGAGTTACCTGTCGGCCCTGAGGGCCACGTGACCGAGGGCGGCCCCGGGAGCCTTGGGGGAGGGCCGCTAGGACCTAGCGCAGGACCGGCGCACTCACTCGCCCGGCCTGGGCGCGAGCTTAGGTCCCGGACTCCCATTTCCCCAGCCAGCTGACTTCTGAGACGACCCCATCCCCATCCTTCTCCGCCTTCCCTCTCCATGAGGCCTCCGCCAAGGAAAGGGCAAAACCAGAGACCTTCTCTAGTCCTAAGGATTACATGGGACTTGTGAAAATCACCAGGAGGCAGTCTAAGGGCTGTGGGGGTCACGACGACCGGTCTAGGAATGACAGAAGTAAGTCACTAAGGGTCAAAGGAGGCGATGAGAGTTACCAGGTATCACCCAGAGGCCTGTGGGGGAATCACCAGAGGTCAACTGAGGGGGGACAGGGGCGGGGGTCACCAGAGATCATTAGAGCCGTGGGGGGAGGGGTCATTCAGAGGTCACAGGGCAGGGCTTGTTCATACAGTTGTGAAGACCGGACCTTAGTTTGACTCCAGGAGGTGCCCGCGGTGCCAAAGAGCGGTCCGAGGTACGCAGGCTTCGGTGCTGAGGAAGGAGGAGGCAACCCCCCAACTCCCGAGAGAGGCACTTAAGATGAGGCTAAACCAGATAGTCCGGCTCTGGAGCCTCACCCCTACCCTACGTGGGGACTCCTGTTTTTGTCGCCCTACCCCCTTGACGACGGGCCTGTTGCCTGGAGATGTGAGCGCGCTGGCGGGTGGGGACTAGCGGCAAATGTGTCAAGTGCGCGTGCGGGCTACAGATCCTCTTCAACCCGGACCAACATCCTAATTCGGACAGTCCCGCGCGCAGCGCTCCCAGCACCCTTTCTACCCGTCCATCTTGGTGAGGCTCCTTTGCTGCGCGTCTCCAGGCCGCCCCGGATTTCCCCAAATTCTCTCATTTATGTGACTGAGAAACTGAGTAAGAATCCGGCGGGAAGAAGGCACTCCAGCCCGTCAGGAACAAAGACATGGGGTTGCCAAAACCGAGCTGAAACAGGCGGGAGCCGCACCTGCGGTTTCGGAAAAGCAGGGCGCTGTGTCCGGACCGTCAGACAATGGAGAGAGCAGAAGACCCGGGGGTGGAGGGAGACCTCCGAGGCTTTGCCCACTAAACCCACACTGCAGTGAGTCCCCACTTGACGAATAAAGAGACTGAGGCGCCCGGGACGGAAGTGACTCGCGCTGGGACACGGTGGCCTGGAGAGAGTAGGAAGTAGACAGTTCTAGCGGATTCAGTCGACCAGCGTTTCACCTTGGGGTACGCAGGTATCCGCCGGCCGCTGAGGCAGCGGGTCTCTGGACCGCCCACCCAGTCCTGCCAGCTTGTCCCCACCCCTGAAAGCGCTAAGCCAATCAGGCTCGGGGGAGGAGGAAACGTCGCTCTTCGGGCCCCGCCCCCTCAAGATAAGCCAGGAATGTCAAATATTTGTTCGCGGGGCGGGGTGTAACAGCAAGGTAAGGCCCCTCCCCCACTCACCCCAGAGCGCGCGTGCGCCAGGCGGAGTCGGGCTCTTCTCCCCGCTAAGCTTTTGCTGCCAACCCCCCCTCACCCTAGCAGCGCCCCAGCCCCCCGGCCTCTCCTAAAACTTCCCTGGCGTGCATCGCTCCTGTTGGGTTCTTGTCCGGGCTGCTCCTACAGGACAGAGCCCCGGCATCCCCCGCAGGCCATCAGGGCTCTGCTTGATGTCTGTCTCACCCATCCTAGCGCCCCCATGCGTTCAACCTTTAGACTGCGTTAGGCCTTTCCCTATTTCTTCAGCGCGGGTCCTCCCAGAAGCCTCCCTCTCAAGGTGACTGACCTCTCCAGTGTGGTACCTCAGGCCGGCCTGAGCGCATTCCCATGGGAGCGCATTCCCATTCATGCGTGTCCAGGTCCCTGCTCGATAGTGAACCTGAGGCTAGGGGCTGGTAGCGTGGGGCGGCTCCCCCAAACCCCTGTGCATCCGGCCGCCTGCTCCCATCCGCATGAGACTTGGACTCTCCTTGAAAAACTAAATTCATTAAAATAACCTTGGAGCCCTGCTTTGTTGAGCTTTTTTATACTTCTTCACGTGGGTCCTTCCACATCACCCCATTAATACTAGACATCCAGTGCTCCTGTCCCCCAACCAGCTCTCGTATTTCCTTTCCTCCAGCACTAAAACAACATCTAACACAAATCACTTATTGTCTCCCTGCCCCACCTACAAGAACAGCAGATCCTCGAGGACAGGTTCATGCCCTGCGCCTATCTCTGGGCCTAGCATGTAGTACAATCAGCCCTCCCAAATCACGGCTTCACATCTGTGGATTCAACCAACAGTGGATCAATATATATTTTTTTATTTCCACAAAGTCGACCCCTAAATACAGTATAACAACTATTTACATAGCATTTACATTAGGTGTTATAAGTAATCTAGAGGTGATTTAAAGCATAAGGCAGAAAGTGTCTAGGTTATATGCAAATACCACACCATTTTATATGAGACTTGAGCATGTGGAGGATTTTGGTATGGAGGGCTGGGAGGAGGGGGGGAGTTCTGGAACCAATCCCCCCAAGATACTTAGGGAGCATTACAGTTGCTCAAGACTTACTGAATGAATTATTGGCTTTCTTTGCCTTTGGGTATTCCAGGGATACTAACCTTCCCTGGGGCCACAGGGCCTTTGCACTAGTCAGTCTGCGTTCTTTCCTTCCCTCCCAAGCCACCCTTGCCCTACTTAACCCTGCTCTTCAGATTTTCCCCTCTCAGGGCACTTCCTTCTGTAACAGAGGTCCCTACTGTAGTTTGAAACGTCAGTATTTCACTGATAAATGTCCCCTACCCCCACTAGGATTCACGAATCATGCATGAATTAATGAATCAGAGATAAGGTAAATGAGAGGGATGAGCGAGGCTCCAACGGCCCTGCATCTCAGATACCTTTCCCAAACGGTACTCCACGTATTTGGGAGAAAGGAACTTGGTCCCGCCAGTAGGGGCTCACGCTTGCGGAATCTCATGCTCTCCTCTTCGCCTCACTTCTTCGTGGCAGGCAGGACTCGCCTTTTGAGTTCTGTCAGGAAGGGAACGGTGGCTCCAGCCGCCGGTTCATGAAGGCCAGAGCAGATACAGGGTGGGATCCTCGCGTGGAGCGGGGAATGTGGCCGTTCTTGTGGACCTCCAAGGAGTCCAGGAGTGGTATAAAAGCCCCCCTTCCCCCTCCCTTCCAGGCCACAAAATATCCTGCTGTGGGAGAGGATTCGACGCTCGGTGCCTGCTGGGGTCCCCCGCGACGATCCACACTCCCCAGCCCCACCCTCAGCTGGACCAGCTGCCACCCTTCCTTATCTTCCGGGCCTCCAGCGTAACTAGAGCGCTGGGCTCCCCCGGGGCTCCCATCTCCGCGCCTTTGCGGAATCGCTGAGGACCCACCAGAGGGCGTACTGGCTCTGTCTCTTGATCCAGGTATTGCGGTCCAAGGAGCGGAGCGTGCACTGAAGTGAAAGAGGAAAGGCCCTAATACTACCTACTCACCGGCCGCCTCCCTTAGGCTTGAGAATTTTTGTGGCTTCTGGCTCGCTGGACATAGGCCACGTTTTTAAACTTGGTTTTCAGGGCCCTCAACCACTCTGTTCCACTCTCACCCCCACCATGTACTCCAGACACACTGCTGTGATTTTTCAGGCCTGGAGGCTGTTGTACATGCTAAGCTCCCTGCCTGGAGCACCCACCAACCTACTCATCCCTTTGTTTTCCTGGCAAACTCCTACTTATCCTTCAAGACCTATCTCTAATTCTTCCTCCAGGCAGCCTTCCTTGATGCCTAGGCCAGGTTAGATGCCCTTTTCTGTGCCCCTTTACCCCAGGGTTCTGTCATGATTGGGTCTCTCATGATTCCAGGGAGGCTCTGACAGCAGAGGAATAGAAGCGTGCTGAGCCATAAGCTTTAGGAGAATCACTTGGTCTCCAAATAGGCTCAGCTATGGCTACCAAACCAGTTCAGAAGCCCCAGTCTTGGTTGGGTTGCCCCAAGCCCAGACACCCACCTGGTCCAGATAGAGGAGCTTGTAGCTTGGGCAAAGGAGAGGGAATGCAAAGAGCCCAGTAACACAGGAGGGGTAAAGGCTGTTGGCTGGATTTTCACCTGAGGAAGATACCACAACTGGCGTGGCTCTTCATTCTCTGGATTTATTCTACCTTTGGTCTTTGCCCAAAATGTTCCTCTCCACAGGAACACCTCCCTCTTTCCCAGTCTTTTCCAGAACTCACATCCAGCCCTGTGGACCTCTCAGTCCCTTATCTTCTTCTCCAGGTCTGACAGACACCAGGACCCTATCCTGGAAGGTAGAGAAGGGGTGTATCATTCATTCATTCAACATATGTTAAGCACTTGCTGTGTGCCAGGGACTGTGCTGGTAGTAACTAGTAACCCAGGTGGACGACAGTAATAGGACAGGTGAGGAGTTTGCTCTTCCAGTGATTGTATTTTAATGGGAGCCAGGCAGGGGCTGCTTCAAAGCCAGTGGCCATGTCTAGACTGAGGCCTAAATGCAGAGCTCAGTTGAGTCCCCAAAAGTTGGGGCGGTAGAGTGATCCTAGTGGAACAAATGCAGAAGTCCTGAGGGAGAATGAGGTTGTCCTGCTCTAGGCAGCAAGGAAGCCATTGAGGCTGGAGATTAGAGAGCTGAAGAAAGGGGGGAGTAGAAATTGGGGGAGATGGTCAGAGTACCCTGCAGGGTCCTCACTCACTATGAGTGAAATGCGTAGGATGCATGCAATGAGAAGGTCATGAGTGGGGTTAGGTGGACAGTGATAGGGCCTGACTTAAGGTTTCAACCTGCCATGTGGAGAACAACCCACAGGAATAAGGGCATAAATTGGACATCAGTGAGGGGCTACTATGGGAATTACGGTAGTCTGGTTTGGGGAGGGTAGAAATGGCAAGACTTGGTGACCATCTGATTGTGGGCCTGAGAATCAGGGAGGTATCTAGAGTCCAGGATGACCCCATGTCTGCAGCCATCACGTGGATGGTGGGGTCATATGAAATGGGGGGACCCTCACCTTCTGACCCTTCTTCACAATGCCAGCATGGATTATTACTGCCAAGCCTTGGAACTCCCTCCCCCAATGGCCATGGTTTCTATTACCTGCAGGGCCGTGGGAGTGGGCTCCTCAGGAACTGCTCCTGAGGACAGGGCCACCCTATGATGGCCCCATGGTCACCTGAGGCTGTTGGGCTGCCAAGAGTTTCAGATGGTGCCAGAGTGCAAAGCACTGTCTTGTTCCCTACCCTCTCTCCACTTAGCTCTTGGCTCTGGGCTCCTGCCTGTCCCTATCCCTGGTAGAAGGGTCTCTATGGTTTCCCTCACTGGGCATCCCAGATTGGTCCTCAGTAACCCCTCTGCTGGGGTCTGGAATGGAGGCGAGGGAGGCAAGGGTGCTTTTTTTGGTGGGGGTGTCACTGGGACAGGGCCTGAGATGGGATATAGTTGGACCTCAAAAGAGGAAGCTACCCCATCCACCAATGTGTTTCACTGTAAGAACACAGGAGAGGCAGGCCAAGATGGTGAGTAGATTCATTGAGGGGCACTCTGATAGTGTTGAAAAGGTCAATTACTGCGTGAGAGGAAGAATGGAAGGGGAAGAATAGAGGTCTTGAGACCAGCTGACCAGGGTGTGACTGGCTCTCGGGAGGGAGTGTGGGATCAAGACTTTCCGTCTCCAAACACATGACCCCCGTCTCCCAGAGCGATGCATGGTGCTGGAGTATTACGGGCTGTCAAGTCTCTGCCCCTTCTGTTCACCCCCCAATTCCTCACGCAGGGAGTCTGTGTCCTCTCTGGATCCCCAGGTTTGCGTGGGGTGGGAGTAGTGGGGGGGACCACGAAGTCCCAACATCCCTCCCGCTCTGCGGGGAACTTGCTGATGGGTCATGGCGCAGGGTCGAGGCTCAAGCCTACTCTTACTTAACACTACGTGCGAACTGCTCAGTTGGGCGGGGTAACTACACACTCCCCGCCCCTAAAAAGGGCAGACATACATCTCACTCAGAAACGAAATATGCTGACCTGGCCTCTCCCTTCCCATCCGCATTCCTAACCCCTCGTGGGTGGCAGGGGTGTAGTGGTGGGTGGGGAGCAGGCGGCAGGGGCTTGCCTGGGCCGGGGTTGTCTGAACAACCCAGGTGCTCTGGGGTAGGGTGCGAAGAACCAATGTTGGGGTTGCGCAAAGGTCTTGGTCAGCTCTGGTCCCCTAAGGCCCAAGAACTGCCTGGGACTCACTTCTTCCCTCCTTTTCCTTGCTTGGACCCGGGTCGCTCAGCAGCGGCGAGCACTTAATCGCCACTCAGCCCGACCTGTTCCAGATCCCATGTCAGGGAGGCGCTCGGAAGTAAACTTCGAGTACCGAAGGCTCGGTTGGGTACCCAGCAGTAGCTGGCTGGGTGAGCCGGGTGGGCGGCGGAGAGCATGGAAGTCAAGCAGAGCCTCGATCGATCGATGAGCTCGGCGTGCAGCATGGTCAAGGGAGCGGGCCCGGGATGGGCAGGGGCGGGGTGGCGAGCTAGACTGGGCGGGACGCGCCTGACGATGAGTGTGTATTGGCAGGCCGTTTGAGACGAGTGTATCGTGATTGGCCTGGCCGCTGTGGGTGGTGGTGGGCGGCGGGGTTAAGCGCGTCGCCGCGCCCGGGCCTAGGCGCGAGCCCGGAGCGCTGAATCCGCGCCTCGGACGTGGACCTACCTATTCACGCCATGGGTCTCTGCCCCTGTCCCTGCCGCGCAGCCCTGCTCCCGGGTGGCCTCCTGTTCCTCCTGCTGCTCGCAGACCCGGCGCTCCCGGCCGGACGTCCCCCTCCGGTGGTCCTGGGTGAGGCGCGCGTCCAGTCGTGGGTCTGTCTGTTTGCTCGTGCGTCGGGCAGGACACGGGGCAGGAGGGAGGGCTATCTTCCCGGTTTGCGTCTGCTCTAAGCACGGAGTTGGGGAGCGTATGACTGTCGTGTCGCCTGGGTCGGTCCGTCCACCTCCCGCCATACTGGGCGCGGGTGTGGTCAGCCTCTCTGTCACATTCCCTGTAGAATATGGGGGTAAGTGCAGTTTTCTATCGGTTCTCCGGTCCACAAAAGTCCCAAACCTTGCCTCGCCTTATCACCATTTTTTAGCTGCAAAACACTGAGGTCCTTTGGCCCCACTCCTGAGGGCCAGTGCTGGGGAAAGGTGGCCTTAGAGTTGGCCCCCAGGGGCCTTAACGTTAACTTGGGCTTGGCTAGGAGGCTGTCTCCCTCGACCCTTCCAGCCTCACACAGAGGGCATTGCTGGAAGGAAGCTCTTTGGGAAAGGATTGCTATCCTAGCAGGACAGGCCTCCCCTCAAACTTATAAAATGGATGGCATTGTGCCTGAGGGAGAAGGCCCTAGGGAATCTGATGACTAAAGACAGTAAAAGTTGGGACAGTGGCTATGAACAGATGTCAGGGAGTGTGCCTGTACTTTTACCCTTCTAGACCTACTTGGACTAAGCTATGTTGTAGTTAGGCGACCTCTCCTGCTTACCCCACAGTGTTTCCTTGTGGTGGTGGGCAGGAATGAGACCTCTGTCTTGAGGACCTTGAATGCCTAATGCAGGCTGTCACTCCCACCCAAAGGTAGTGTGCCAGTGACCAGCCAGGACTCCTGAAGGCAGAGGCATGCTGAGGTATATGTTACATACTGAGTCTGCTTCAGTATGACCCCTATGCTGTTTCTGCTGGGAGTACCTGCTGGTCACCCTTAGATGCTGATCATCTGGTGGCTAGATCACAGAAGGGTAGGATTGGCAGGCAGTTTGGTCCCAAGGAGTCCCCCACCATGAGCTCTGGGTTAGGAAATGCTCCAGGAGGATACTGGGCCCAGGTTCACTATGGGAATTGGGCAGACTTGGCCCTGCCTTCCCTAAACTTGCAGGATAATCCCCAGAGATGAGGTCTGTGCTGGGCAAGCACAGAGAATCCACTGACCTAATCAGGGAAGGCTTCCTCGAGTATGCAGCTGGAGCTGTGGCCAAAAGAGAGTTCCAGGCACAGGGAACTACATATTGGAGGGAGGGAGGCAGTCCGGGCTATCTAGAATGAAGTTGTGGGGGAAGGAGTGGTTTATGTAAGCTCCTGACTGGTTGGGTCATCTGGACTTTATCCTGGGGGCCCTCAGGGAGCCATGGGTGGGCCTGAGGAGTTCTGAGTATAAAGGGTGTGGCATTGGGAAGTGAGTGGTCCATGAAAGGCATGCAGCCTTTTCTCTTAGATTGGTGCTAACTGCACTCATTAATTTATTGAGTTCTTGGTTATCCTAGGTCACAGCAGAGGAGCTTCAATTCCAACCTAGAGTCACAGAGCAACTGGAATCCTGACCTGCTCAGCTTCTCAGAGAGTGAGGCTGTTGGCATTAATCCTAGGAAAACCCATGGCGGGCAGTGGACAAGCTGTTACTGAGCACAGAGCAGGGACCTGCCCTTGGCCACCAGAGGATCAGCATGCAAGGGTGACCAGCCTCTATGGGTGGGATTCAAACTGGTGGTAGAGGAAGCAGAGACCAGAGAAGTGATACAGAAGAAGACGCTAGGCAGGGGGAAGGGACTACAGATAAGCCATTTCTACCTCTCCCAGCCTCAGTCTCTTCATCTATAAAGTGAGCATAATAATGACATTCTCTCCCAGTGTTATTTGAGGTGAAAGGCACGTGGATGGCTCTTGTCCTAGTTCTAGGCACAAGGGGGCTCAGGAAGTGACCATACTATTTTTAGAGGTCACACAGCCTGGCCAGGGTAAAAGATATCCAAGCAAAGCAGCTCTGGTGACTTCCTCTTTCAGCCATTTCCTTTGGTGGAGACAATGACCAAGATCTTTGCACTCCCCAGCCCAGTCCACAGGCATGTCATCCAGAGGCTGTCATGTTGGGGACTCCCCACTTTTGTACCTGCATCATGAAAGGAGGTGAAGGCAAGCGCTGCAGCTGCCTCCCATGGCTGCCCTGAGGACACTGAAATGGTGCACAGGATGGGCGTGCCCTCTGCTGGGCTGGGTTCACAGTCTGAGCCCAGTAAACACCTAGAGAGCCAAGCTCTGGTTGTTCACTTAGTGATCGTGGATCCTAAATGAAGATGAATTTGGGAGGTGTCGAGAGCATGGCATGTGGGAGCAGGTGAAGCCTGAAAGGTCACTGGGAGTAAATAGACCTTAAAGCGCCTTGAATGTGGGGCAGTGGAGTAATGGGTATAGGTTTGAGTGTCACAAGGCCCCCTAGGGCTCTGTGTAGACTCAATAGGCCAGCTTGGGTAGAGAGAAATCACCCTTGAGGACTGTTCATCCCCACCCACCACTGGGCTATGGCCAGAATGATGTGTTGGTTCAGGTTAGCCACCTCCAATGCTTGGTCCAGGGGTGCCAAGATGCTAGGGCACTCTCGATGATCTGCCCTGTGAAACCTTACTGGGCTGTGGCCTGGGGACCTTGGTAGGTCAGCAGGTGCCAGTATGAGCTTCTTTCAACTTTGTTTCTGTTCATTCCCTCCTCCACAAGCCTGTCTTGGAGTGCGTTGTCTTGATTCAATTTTGACGGGTTAAGTAGGACAGTGCTCTGTCCTGTTTCCCACTCCTTCAGTCAGAGTGAACAAGGCCCTGCCTACCCTGTTGTGTGGGATGGCTGTGGGTGGAAGGCCTTTGAGTTCAAGCCTTGAGGTTGTCTGCCTGTCAGGCCCAGGGCCTCATGCATGCTGTATGCCCCGCTACAGTGCCTGGTGATTTGGGCAACCAGCTGGAGGCAAAGCTGGACAAGCCGAAGGTTGTGCACTACCTCTGTTCCAAAAAAACGGACAGCTACTTCACACTCTGGCTGAACCTCGAACTGCTGCTGCCTGTCATCATTGACTGCTGGATCGACAATATCAGGTGGGAGCTGGGGCACAGATGGGGTGCTGCTCAACAACTCAACCTAAAGAGGCCTCCAGAGTCCGTTTCCATCTCATCCCCACCTCAAGAGACCGCAAGGTCACTGACCTTTCTCTCTTCCCATTTCCTCGGTCTGGTAGGCACCACATTTTGCAATCTCAGGCAGAACTTTCTTTCCTTTCCCGCTGCTCTTGTCTCTACCCTCTCCATTCCATGCCTTGTGCCTCAAGCCCTACCCCTGGTATCTATGGTCTAGCCTCTGTTCTTAGCCTCAACATGGCCCCAGCCCCTTCTCTTGCCTCTGGCTTGGCCACACCTGCCCCTTCAGCTGCTTGTTCTTCCTGGGATATGCCATGTCTCTATGCCTTTGCAGACACTGTTCTTTCAACCTGGAATCTACTTCTATGCCCTTTGCCTGATAAATTTCCTCCCATTCAACCTTTAAAACCTGAGCTAGGTCCCTGCCACTTCCCAGGGCTGTTAACCTCTCCTTCCCCCATGCCACAGGCCTGTTTCCTCTAACCCTCGGCAAACTTTGTTTCCAAGGATGTTTCCCAATAATAAGAATTATGTACTGTTTATTGAATATAGACACTGTACATCTTACATACTTTCATTTAGTCTTATGACAACCCAATGAAACAGGTGCTATTTACAAACCTGTTTTGCAGTGGAGGAAATCTGGAAGCTCAGATCCATTACAAAATTGACTAGGGTCACTCAGCTCATAAGTGGCAGAACCAGGATTCAAACCTAGAATTCTGTGACCCTGAGTTGTTTCCCTCCAAGACTGAGCTTCCTGAAGGCAGGGACTATATATCTCTTTTATCTTTATAGCAACCTGGAACACAACTGGTGCTCAATAAAGGTTTGAGCGGAATCTAATCTTAACAAATTAAATTTTTTTCCTCCCAGAGATTTACCTTCTCAGTTGTTTTAAGATGCCTGCATTGTTGACTCTTTTCCTCCTCTGTGTGTGATTAAAGTTATTTCTGGGCTATTGATCTGCATTTCTATTTTTGTACCAGAGACATGGCCTCAGGTACTGCCAATTGGAGGTGTGGGCTGATACCAAGAGGGGCTTGTCTACCTTCATTGTTCCTGTGACCTGTTTAGACTTTCACCTAACACAGAGCTGCACTGCTTTCCAGAACTATTTTCTGCACTTTGTTGAGTGGCTATTCACATAATCTACAGATTGCCCTAGAGATAGTAGGCCACATGGACCTATTGGATTGTCGGAAAAGTCATGACGTATTTTTTCTGTTTTTCGTTGGAAAAATGCATCATGACTTTTCCGACAACCCAGTATTATTTGGGTCAATGTGGGGAACCCTGCCAGCTTTCTGTGGCTGATCTTTAAGCGGGGAGTGCGACTCAGGACCACCAGGGACTGCAAGTCTAGCCTACGTTTTCTCGGGCATATTTGCCTCCTTGGTATCAGGGGAGGCCAGAGCAGGGTTCCAGGCCTGGCATAAGGCTTTCCTCCTGTCTCCCACTACCCTGTCCTCATCATTCTCCAGGCCTTGCCTGTCCACCCACATAGCAGCTATGGAGTTGGGTGTCTCGTTGTCTGGTTGTGTTGTGTGCTGCTCTGAATGTCTCCTTTGTCCTGTGATATGTTATGGTGGGTGACAGGAGCTGGGTCTTTAGAGGTGGAGCGATAGGAGCCTGCGAGGTTAGACTGCCTGCTTTTTGGGGTCAAGTGTGAGGTTTGTGGCAGAGTCAGGCCTGGCACTTCCCTCTGTGAGCCAGAACCAAGACCTGCATTCTGGGGTGGGTGACATTGAGAAGAAGGGAATATTGTCTCAGTGGGGGTCCTGGGGTCGATTTTTGGAGTGAGCCTTGGTGGGAGTCCTCACTCTGATCTGTGCTTTATAACCTTGCTTTGTTATGTGGGGGACGAACAAACTTTCCTTTACCCTCAAGGTTCTTTTAGCTGGTCTACTGATCAAATAGATATGAGATAGATTAGCAAGAGAAGATAACCAAATTTATTGTACATGTGTGGAAATCCCACATACATGAGAGAATCAGAGACCCCCACATGCAAGAGAGGTTCAGAGACAGAAAGGAGAAAAGGGTATAGAAGACATTCTGATCTAGGGATGAGGTAAGGTGCCCTGGGGGCTTCAAAGGGTCATTGCAGAATGATAAGAAGAGCAGATGTTTAATAAATAGAAGCTTGCCCTACCCCTGTAGATGGGTCAAAAAGAGATAATCGCTGATAATCTCTTATTATGGGCAAGGCTCCTAATTCAAGTTCTTCTAGGTAGTTAAAGGGAGGGGCAGAAGTTTTTCTTGAGCCTGACTGAAGCTAAAATTGCCCTTAGCTCAAAATAATCTGTACATCACAGAAGCACATCTCTGGAGACTAGCTCTGAACCCCAGTAGTTACTTTTTGGCCTCCCCTATACATCTGACCAAACCTGAGGATGGGAAGAGAGTATGGCTCAGGACACAGGGCAGTATTGAGACACACCCAAGTTCTGTGCCAACTGTGTGTCACCAGCTCAATTTCCCCTACTGACAGGCTTGTGTACAACAGAACATCCCGGGCCACCCAGTTTCCTGATGGTGTGGATGTGCATGTCCCCGGCTTTGGGAAGACCTTCTCACTGGAGTTCCTGGACCCCAGCAAAAGCAGTATGGGTATGTAGCCCTTCTCATGCTTTTCAGGAATAGGGCCAGATGGAGGTTTTGCTGGACTCCTAGAGTGGGAGGAACCCTGTGTGTTTGAAGGGATAACCTGTGAACTGTCTGTGTTATATGGGCACACAGCCCCCCCTCAGAGAGCTCTCCGCGTAGGTGTGTCACTGTCTTCTGGGCATGTGGGGTGTATGTAGGTGGCTGACACTGGTTGCATCTTCTCTAATCCTATGCATTTCTGTCTACAGGCTCCTATTTTCACACCATGGTGGAAAGCCTTGTGGGCTGGGGCTACACACGGGGTGAGGATGTCCAGGGAGCCCCCTACGACTGGCGCCGAGCCCCAAGTAAGTGGTCACCCTTGTTTCCTACCTTAGGTCTTAGGAGGTGGGGACAAGGAGGTCATAGCCACCACAGGCCCTGAGCTCTCCCCTACCCGTGGGCCTCTGGTGCCTAGCCCAGTGGTAACAGCTACCACCCCTGGTCAATCTGTCCTGTCTTTCCCCATCCCTCACCCCAGGATTTCTGGGCCTCTGAGCCCTGGGGAGAGATAGTGAGTCTGAGGAACGGAAAAGGAACCCCTTTGTTTCCTACCTTCATGGAACCTGAGGGGAAACCAGACCATTCCCATTGGGATTTGAGCACTCTCCCCACTGACCTAGTCCTGGGTCTGGCCTGAGAAATGGTCAGTGATTCAGGCCTTAGGACCCTTCTTGCCTGACGCCTGCCTGGCTCTGGCCTGCAGATGAAAACGGGCCCTACTTCCTGGCCCTCCAGGAGATGATCGAGGCGATGTACCAGCTGTATGGGGGCCCCGTGGTGCTGGTTGCCCACAGTATGGGCAACATGTACACGCTCTACTTTCTGCAGCGGCAGCCACAGGCCTGGAAGGACAAGTATATCCGTGCCTTTGTGGCACTGGGTGCGCCCTGGGGGGGCGTGGCCAAGACCCTGCGCGTCCTGGCCTCAGGTAAGACCCTGCCTGGCCCAGCATGGGGGGATGTGTTGGGGGTGGCATCTTCTCGTTCCCTCTACAGCATCCTCCTGGGCCACCCTCACATCTCTTCTCTTAGGTCAAAACCCTTCTTTCTCCAGAATGGTATTCTTTTCTAAATATCTCTTTTTCCAAAAGAGAATCCAACACTACTCCTAATGTTATCTCTCTAGTTGATGACCCTTATTGTCTGTGTAAGTCTATTACTGCATGAACATGGAGTGGCAGAGCTATTGGTCATACGGGTACTTGCTTGTGCACATGTGTACACACACTGTGCTCAGGCCTGGCTGGTCTAACTTGGTTTGACCCAGAGTTCTTTGGGGGAGTCTTCTCCCTCTCTCTTACCCCATCCTTACTTCATCCCACCTTTGCCCCAGAGAAGGAAGGCTGAACTGCAGTTTCCTGTTTATGAGCTACATCTCCATGTGTAGCGGCGGGGAACCTCTGTGGGCAACACAGGAAGGAAGCAGGTGCAGATCTGTTTGGGCCTGCTTGCTAGGCAGTTGGGAAAGCTATCTCCTTCCTCATTCATCTCCAGTCCACCTGCCTTTTCACAACTGTCAGAGCCTGCCAGCTGCAGCCATAGGGCTTTCTTCCCTCTAGGGATTGGGTGTGAGCCACATGGCCCCTCACTTTAGGAGCCATGAGCTAGGGCTGTGCCAAACGTCTGATGAGCTTTCTTCCTCAAGTCACTGACACGGCCTGACCTGCTTGATGGTCAACTGATTGTTGTGATCAGGTCAGACCAATGCCTATTCCAGTAGTGACTCTGGATTGGCTGGGCAGCTTCCCTATGAGTCCTGTTAGAGTTTTGCCTCAGATGCTGGGAAGCTGTTCTTTCAGGCCCTTGTAGTCTGGGAGCAGGGGTGGGAATTGGGAGGGGTGGTAGTCATGGACCCCTAGCCAGGGGGTTCCCCTTTTTCGGAGGCCTTAGAGTCAGGCCCCAGCAGGCAGAGCTGTTTTCCTGTGGTCAGTCAGAGAGGTAGAGTGATGATGGTTGGTCATGGGTCCTGAACAGGGTCAGAGGCTCCTGTTCCCAAGCTCCAGCTCAATCTCTGGAGGTCTCACTGGCTGGCGGGTGTGCTTGTGTTGTTGGCATTCCTGTGTGAGATGGACTCTCACACTGTCTGCAGCCTTCTCTCCTGCCCTGTCCAGGTCAGTGACAGGTAAGGTAAGTGGCTGGTATGAGACCAGGGCTGGCTGGCTACAGGTCTAAGCCTAGGAAGAATGTTTACATAGCTCAATATAATAAAAAAAATAATAAAAAAAGAGGAATGTGCCTGTGGGCTGACAACCTGCTGATTCACCTTCGATAAGGTCAGTGCCCACAGTGATAAGTCACCATGTGGGTGTGTGTTGCCTAAATCCCTAGTGACAAAATGCAAAAGGCAAAGAAACAAGTCTTGGTTGGGTGCTTCCCAGAGATGCAGCAAAAATAAAGGGAAACAGTAAAGGCCAGTGCAGTCATGGGAATTATAACGATGATTACAGTGTAGAGCTATTGGTGTGCTGACTGGGCCACTGGCTGGGGTCCAGCAGGGTCCCTCCCTGGTGGTGAACATGATGCCCAGCCAGCTTGCATTCCTGAGCACAGACTCACTGGAGCCCTCTTCCTGCAGGGGACAACAACCGGATCCCGGTCATTAGTCCCCTGAAGATCCGGGAGCAGCAGCGGTCTGCCGTCTCTACCAGCTGGCTGTTGCCTTACAACTATACCTGGTCACCTGAGAAGGTGTTTGTGCGCACACCCACGACCAACTACACGCTGCGCGACTATCACCAGTTCTTCCAGGACATTGGCTTCGAAGATGGCTGGCTCATGCGGCAGGACACGGAAGGGCTGGTTGAAACCATGGTGCCACCTGGTGTGCAGATGCACTGCCTCTATGGCACTGGTGTCCCCACGCCAGACTCCTTCTACTACGAGAGCCTCCCGGACCGCGACCCTAAAATCTACTTTGGTGATGGAGATGGCACTGTGAACTTGCAGAGTGCACTGCACTGCCAGACCTGGCGCAACCACCAGGAGCAGGAAGTATCATTGCAGGCGCTGCCAGGCAGCGAGCACATTGAAATGCTAGCCAATGCCACTACTCTGGCCTATCTGAAACGCGTGCTCCTTGGGCCCTGATTCTTGGACTAGGCAGGGCTGTGCGATGGCTTGGCCACAGCTGCTTCTCTTGGCCTCCAGGGCTGCCATAGCCCATGAGTTTAGCAGTTTGTGACTGGTCATCCAAGGCCCTGGGTCTTGGAGTGTGAAACGTCTGCCATGGGAAGTACTGTTTCTTATCCTTTCTCTGGGAATGAGGAAAGAAGAAATAGTCTGCACTCACTCGAGGGGCCCTTCATGGAAAGAATGCTGCTGCTGATGGAATTGTGACCTCAGGACTGGTCCCACGGGTGAATTGGCTAGCACCTGGATCCAATCCCCAACTGAGGGGCCATGTGTTCCTCCTACCCCTGTGGCCTTTTCACATTCATGTACCAGGCCCTGGCCCCTCAGCCTTCCAGTGAGTGATATGGCTGAACTGTGGTCCCTATTCCCAAAAGCCCCAGGGATGGGCTCCTCATCCCTAGGGTGATCCTTCCCACACACTGAACACAGGTGGGCCTGCTACTGGCCATGGGTGGCTGGAGCTGCTGGCTTCTCTGTGGCCTAGCTGCTCCATAGTCTGACTGTGGCTTTGGAGCGGGTAGCCCTGTTTCCCCTGCGGGCAGGGGCGGGCTGTTGTGTCCTCTGTGGTTCCCAGGCTCTGGGACATTCACTCTTACCTTCCTTACCTCCAAAAACAGCCTAGCTCAGGATTGGGCAGCAGATGCCCACCCCCCAAGTTTTGGGGGCTGTGTTCCAGGAGCTCTTATCCCCTCGGTTGGGCTATTTCCCACAGTATTGATGCTGGCTCCCTTTGCCCTGGGACTGTGGTTCAAGAATGAGAGCAGGGCCCAGTGCTATGGCCTTTTAGATCCTCATGAAGAAAGAGAACTCAAGGAAGCAGCCAAGGTGACTCAGAGCTTCCCTGAACTGCCCTCTTGCTAACCCTACCATATTGCCACCCTGCCCTAGGGTTTTGCTAGCACACAAGTGAGCTGGCAAAGGGCTGAAAGGAGATAGGGCTGCTGCCTATCTTGCCTAACACCTACCTCCACCAGGCAGCTCAGTGGTGTTTAGTGTGCAGGGATTAACTCAGAAACTTGAGTGGGCCCCTGTGAAAGCCAGGTGCCTTGGAGCCCCCTTGGGGGTTTTCTGTCTGACTCAGAGGTGCTGCATAGGTCTCCCTGTGATAACAGGGCTGTAGAATCGGAATCTGCCTTGGTGGTCTCGGTCTCCAAGTAGGCAACAGCAATAGGCCAAGACATGGGTCTAGCCTCTAGGGTGGCCCCAAAGCCACAGTCAGTCTAGACTGTGCTGATCTCCCACAAGGTTTCTGTGGAGCTGGATTTTCTCTGTTGTGTACATACCCAGCATCTGTCTCTCCCTTTGTTCCTGAGCGGTGGGCCCTGCAATGGGGCTCTGAGCAGGCTGTACCTCGATTCTGGCAATAAAAGTATTCTGGATGCTGTAAAGTACCTTGGCCTAGGCTCTGCTCTGAGCATGAGAGGAGGGAGGTAGTGGAAGGGTAAAGGGGCTAAAGAGGTAGGTAATCTGGGATTAGACTTTTCCTGGGGCCTTGATGGGTTCTCAGCACCAAAGCATGGCTCCTGTGCACTTCTTTGGGCTTCATTCTCCTGCCACCTCTTCTGGAATCTAGTTCCCCTCCTGGGATTTGAAACATTCCTGTTGGAATATAGCTCCTGCTTCTGCTTAGTCAGCAGGCCCCACATGCCACCCTAGATATGGGTACCAAGGACAATCCTGCACGTCACCCTGGCTGGACTCCCTACCCTTTTCTCTCAGCTTGAGGGTCTCAGCATCCTTTGAACCTAGAGTTCTAGACCTCACCCATCTACTTTGTTTCAGCTCATCTACCCACCATCTGTCCTGCTTTGGGGACAGAGTGAGATTGAGGAAAGAAGAGATACTAGGCTGAGACTGGTATGGAGAGAGGCCAAAATTGGCAGAGACAGGGACTAAGAGACTGGGGAGCAAATGGAGATGGATAAAGATAGAAACAGAGTCGAGACAGGGAAACATGCATAGGGATAGGATCCAGGCCTGAATTCTGTGGTACAGAGCCAGGAGCCAGGGCCAGTTGAGGTAGGAGCCCCAGTTTCTGCCTCCACAGGGCAGGGCCAGCCAGGGCTTCAGGCTTTGATACATTCTGGGCCACTAGAGGGCACTCTGAAACCTTTCACGGCACCAATTATTGGCCAAACCTGGAAGAAGGGGTGGCCCAGAGGGTGAGGGTGCCTACGGATACACAGGTCCAGTTGCATCGCTGGCCTTGGTAAAAGGATGACTACATGAAAGGGAGCAAACCCTTACCCCCCAGGCCCTGCGCAGCCTGACTCCCAATTCTGCCGACACCCACAGACCATGTGGCGGCCTTGCAGCCACCCATTCACCCTTGACCCATTTCAGCTGAGCCACCACCCTTGGTTTCACAGCTGCAGAGAGGGCATGGAGTCAGAGCAGGCTTCAGGACCAGCAGACAAGGCTTCAAATCTGAGCTCTACCAGCTCCAGCCAAGTAGCCTGGGGAGTCTCCTGACCTCCCTGAGCCCCAATTTGCTCATCTGAAGAATGGGGATGAATAAATATACCCTGCAGGGTAGTCCTGAGGAACACTGATGGTGTTGGAGAACATCCAATTCAGTGCTTGGTGCATAGTGGGCTTCAGTGGGTGGGCTGCTGTAACTGGGTGTGAGACAGCAAATCCAGAGGTCTGGGAGCTGGAAGGTTGTACATGTGGCTATTGCAAGGGCAAGTGAACTGGCTGCCACTCAGCGACACAAGTGTCCAGAGCCTCCAGGGAGGCAGGAGGAACTCATCCGGGGGAAAATGGTCAGACTAATGACTCCAAATATATACAAACTGTCATTGACACTTAAAGAAGTTATTCCAAGCAGAGAGCATGAGGGCAGCATCAGTGAGGGCTCTTTAAGGATCATCGTCTCAGGTCTATAGGGAGAAAGATGGAAGGGTTTTTAGGCAGAGTTTTGAAGTTATTCCTACCGTATTGGAGCACCCCCTACCCTGTGGGGATGGGTTGGAGGGAGCAGGATAGGGATTGGGAGGCTATTAAGGCTGGGGAGAAGAAAACCATGAGATGCAGGGTTTAGGAGGCTGGAGGAGGAAGGGTCCAGGGTGCTGTCCATCTCTGGTGGGTCACTGTTTGGCGGGAGCAGGTGTTTGGGTATGGTCAGTCTGAAAGTGGAATATGCAGTTGTGAACATATCTGGGGGAAATGAGTCCATGGCCCAGAAGAGATGCTTGAAGTGTGGACCGGAAGCTGAGGTTCAGCTGCTGGTGAAGTCAAAAGGCCCTAGACAACCCCATTAACCACCAGAGGAAAAGGAGCCTTAGGACATGGAAGAGGCAAAACCAGAGGGACATAAAGAGGCAGGAGGGTGAAGTCCCCTGAGGGAAGTCAGCCAGATCAGGCAAAATGAGAACTGAAAAATGTCCTCAAGCCTAAGCCTCAGGGTTGGCTGGAAGCCCAGCAGTGTCCATGTGTCTGTGGGGCCTCAATGGATGTGTGGTGGTCTGGAGGACAAGTCCTGGGTCAGTGTCTCCCTAAGGTCCCTAGGCAGTTGGCTGTGAACCGGGTAAGGAGGCTGTTTAGAGCTCCCAGTATGAGCTGTATGGGGTTCCCCTGGGTGTGGGGCCCAGGCCAAGGGTCACATAGAGCAGGGTGTGCGGGCCGTTAGCGTTCCCCCTGGGAGCATCCCGGTATTGAGTACCTCGGAGTACCGAGTAACGCCGTGCAGGGTCAGGGAATGTCACGCTAGTTGGCAAGGGTGGCTGGGCACAGGTCACAGCCCTCGTGGGCCCCGGCGTGGCCGGCGTGGGGGCTGGCCGCCAAGTGCACGCAGAGGCCGGGACGGCACATAAGGGTGTCTGAGCCCCGCCCGCCAAATCGCTGGGGCTAGTACTCTAGAGCCTCCGCCAGGCCTGCCGCGGAGCAGGAGGCCCTGTCCCGACGCTGCGCGCTATCGCGATCCGCCTCAGGTGACGTGGCGGGGGCGGGGCCTGAGCAGGCGCGGCGGCAGTGGTTGCGGCGAGACTCAGCATCGTGGAGCGCCTAGCCACCGCGAGGTAACGGGCCTCGGGCAGGCGCGTGGGGTTAGCGGGGCAGGGCCAGGTTCTGTGGGTCAAACTCTCCACGCGGCCCCCGCCAGCGCCGCGGCGTGCGGGATGTGGGCCCGGGAGAGGGTGCGGGGTGGACGGGCCGGGCACATGAGACGCTGCGGCTGAGTGCGTGCCAAAGCATGACGCTGTGCGCGTAGGAGGGACCTCAAGCGGAAGGGTGACTCCTAGAGTGTGGGAGACCCCCAGGGTGAGACTGAGCATGTGAGAAAGACTCCACGTGTGTGTGTGTGTGTGTTGTGTGTGTGTGTGTGTGTGTGTGTGTGTGTGTGTGTGTGTGTGTGTGTGTGAGTGTGAGAGAGAGAGAGACAGAGACAGAGACAGAGACACTGGATTAGAAGAAGACTGTGAAACTCTGAGTCTGAGGGTGAGTCTGTGAGTGTGAAGGTGTTAGTATGAGGGAGACTCCATGTGTACATGAGAGAGACTCTGGGTGTGGGGATGACTGAGTGTGTGAGACCTTGAGTGTGAGGGTGACTCCATGAGAGTGAGAGAGGCTGGTGAGAGTGGCCCTATGCGGGACACTGAATGTGTGCGAGAGACTATCAGATACTCAAGTGTGAGTCTGATGGTAAGACGACCTGTGCTGTGTGTGAGACTCGGGGTGAGAAAGATTGGGGTGCGAGACTCTGAGGATGGGAAGACAGGACCAGAGCTGCTTGGGGATGATGTGGGATTGCCTAATGTTGGGCTTGGGGTGCTGGTCTATTGGAGCTAGGGAAGGGGTGGCTCCTGTTGTTAGGGCTTTTTCTAGTGTTTCCACATCCTGTCATCTTGTTTGATCATTTCATGTCATAAATGGAAGGAAATGTTTGTGAAACTCTTTGAGAATTCTTCACTAAACACTAAGCAAACAGTCTGGGAACCACGTTGTATAATGGTCAGTACAAGTAGGAATCAGTTTAATTTAACAGATGTTTTTTAGTATCTCTTGTGTGCACTGGGCTGTTTGCTTGGTGACTCAGTTAAAATATTTGGTCTCTGCCCTTGATAGGGGGGGGGAAAAAAAAGCACTGCTAGTGACTAGCACTGGATCGAATCTCCCTCCTTAGCAGACTGCTGAGCCATCTGGGGCTTATCTCTGAAAGTGGCTCCCTGATTTGAAGATCTGAGAGGAGCAGACTTTTGAAAGCCTGTGAGTGTTTCTGAGATCATTTTCACTCTCTTTGCTTCCGGAGGGGCCCTTTGGGAAACTGCCCAGACTGGCCACCATTACTCAGGGCCCATGGTGTGCTGATGGCTAAACTTCCTGAGTTTGGTCTCATACTGTCATTCATGTTCTTAAATTTGATTTTCCTTTTCTGACAAATATATGGAAAACCACAAACCTGATTTTCTCCTGTCTCCCTCCTTCACTATTTGGCTGTGGACATATTTTTTATTGCAGGCCAAAAATAAATAGCAGTCTATGTGACTCCCTGGCACTTCTTGATACATGAAATTCCCGACCTCTATCCTCTGTGCTTCTTGCCACAGCATCTCCAGGATGTAGATATGTTTCTATGAAAGTGGTGCAAACGGTGTTGTGGGGACCTGGGACTCAGAGAGTAGCATCTGTCTAGACATGAATGTTTGAGATGACCAGTCTAGTTCTCTGACACCTGTTCGGGTTGGTTGCTTCGGTTACACTCCTGCTGTGGGTGTGATGGAACTTCTCAATAGAGTGCTGCCTCTGCTGGGCATGTAAAACTGAGAAATTTTTTTTTTTTAAGATTTTATTGAGGAATTGGGGGAGGGTAACAGTATTGGGGAATTGGGAAGGGGAACAGACAAGTTGCTGTTCTTTTGTTCTTCAGTCTAATTGTGGAGGATGTCGCTTCACTTGCCCATGTTGGTATTATCATTGTGCTCTTCCCAGGTGAGGCAGTCGCTTGCTCGCCGGCCATTGGACAGCTGCTCATGGCGGCTCACAAAAGCTCACACCCGCTGCTGGTCAGTCCCACTGCAGCCCAGTCCCACTGCAGCCTACACTGACGGAAGCCCAGCTCCAGGTTGAGCTGTTGTTCACCATCTTAGCTGTAGAGGGCGCAGTATCACTGGCCCTCATATGTGGGATCTGAACCGGGGCCCTGCTGCTCAGAGCTGGCATCCCAAGCCAACTCCTAACCAATGGTCCGCTTGAGAATTTTTTTGATTTATTTTTTTCACAAAGTGAAATATCATCCTGCTGCTTACTAGGTTTGTTTTTTGATAAGTTGCCTCTTAATCTTTGTTGCAGAGATTAAATGGCCAAGACAGACAAGTGGAATTAGGCCTTGCTGTGGAGACTTCATCTTCTTCTCAGTACCTGGCCATTTATGATGAGGCGGCTAATGAAACTGTGATGTTTGCATATTTTCTTGTAGGTGAATATTATTTCTCCGTTTGCTTTTTTGGATCTCTGTAAAGAGTTTGTTATTTGTGTACAATATGAACACTATGATACTAGTAAAGGGACTGTTTATTATATAAATAAAGTATATATTTATTACATCATATTGCTTTCTAAATAGTAATTATAAAATGAAAGATGCAATGAGGTTGTTAAAAAGAAATAAAAATCCAAAGTCATTAAGAAGGTTAAATACAAATACTGTGAAAAGTGAGGGTATTTATTTAGAGATTGGGAGCTGAATTTGATCTTGAGTTTCCTGGCATCCCACATAAAAAGACCAACATAATGAGTCACATATTTTTTGTTATTTGATAGAAGTACAATAAATATATATATTTTAAACTTTAGGCATAAAAAAAATCAATGCATACTCATTGTGAAAAATTTATAAGACTCAGAAAAGCATAAAAAAGAAAAAGTTCTCTGTGTTTTCACCACAGTTAAGGTTTTGGTGTATTTCTCAATAGCATTATTTTTTTTCCATAGTCATCAATTATAAGAGTTTTTAACTCCATCTTGTAAAATTGTCTTTGTAATTGAACTTTGAAACAGCCTTTTTTTCCCCCTAAAAATTACATGTAATAGTTTTATGGTTATATTTTCATAAGGAAATTTTAGGGGTCTTGTGAATTCCTTTATTATTTCCTGCAGGAGCTTAGAAAATAGGATGAAAACCTGTTAGAAAGCTGCGTTGTGTTCTTACAAGCAGGGTTTAATACTAATTTTTCAAGACAGGAACTTAATAGGGTACATTGAATGATTTAATGGAAATTTTCTTCAGCAGTGATTTCAAAGACTGTGTGTTGGAGAAAGACAGACTGAGAGACTGATACCTGTGTGTGATCTTCACATATCATTTCTTTTATCAATTGAATAAAAATTGAAGGCAAAAGGATAGGCAATTTCAAGAGAGTGCTCTGGTAGAATTATGTTGCATCCTCCTTCCCCACAAATACCAGCTACCTAGCTGGAGACTGTAGGTTAATTATGACTCTTTGTATCAGTGATTTTCATCCCATTGTTACAGAAGGTCTGCAAATCTCCATGGGGACAGTATAAACAATGCATCTCACACAGTAATTGAGGGCTGTTTTTTTGAGAATGTATGTAGGTACATTTGTGACTAATTAAAGGCAAATGAATTAAAAAACATTATTATAGTCACAGTAGCTTTTTGTTATGTTTTTTTTCTCCTTTATCACCTGTTACCTAAAGAACAAATACTGTGACAAAATGATGGGAACCACTGTCTCAGACTGGCTTCTCTGAATGATGACTTCTCTTTAGTGGAGCCGTTTTTGCTGTTGTTCTGGGGAACAGGTGGCTCAAGGTGTTAGACTTTCAGTAGGGTTTATTGTGTATTTTCTGTTCTAGGTATTTTCTTGATATATTTTATTCAGCGATCATGGAATGAGCACGGATTCTGCCCTAGGCCTTGTACTGGGGACTGCTAAAACAGACAAGGAGCCCACAAACTTGTTGGGACAGACTGAAGGTAAGCAAATACAACAGAGTGAGGTGGCTGCTAAGGCAGAAGTATGTATTAGAAGCCTTAGGGGCACAAGGAGAGAAAGACGGCAGCCAAGATATTGAGGAAAAGGTGGGAGAAGGGTGTTCGAAGCAGAGAGCTAGGCATGAACAACGATGTGTTTGATAGGCTCCAGGGTTTAGGAAACTGCAAGTAATTCATTGTGACTGGACAATAGGTGGGACTGTATGCAGCAGGGAATCTAGCTGCTGAGAAGGTTGGAATTGGTCCTAAAGGCCTCAGGCAGCACCTGAGGGAGGGTTCCTAACTGAGCTCTGATACTGACTGAGTAGATAGTAGGGTTGATATTATCTTGTGAAACTTGAGTACCAAAGCCTTTTTTTTCCCCATGTTGGAAGTCTGTCTTCCACCTCTGACCTGTTCCCATCTCCTACATGGAGGTAAGTCCTATTGCAGGTGCAATTTTATTTTTCTCAGAATTCACATAATTACTTAGATAAGAACTATGTTGGGGAATTCTATTTTCAGGTCTTCTATAATAGATCTTTGCTGATTTTATGTCTATGTACTTGTTCTATTGATGACTGAGAGAGTTGTGTTGAAGTCTCCAACTATAATTGCAGATTTGTCTAGTTCTCCTTTCAGATGTATCAGTTTTTGCTTCATGTATTTGAAGCTATATTGTTGGAGGAAATATACATTTAGAATTGTCTTTTCGGTGAATTGACCTCTTTATCATTATGTAATGTCCCTCTTTAGCCATAGCAATATTTCTTATTCTGAAGTCTATTTTGTCTCATGTTAATGTAGCTAGTCCACTTTCTTTTGATAAGTGTTTACATGGTTTATTTTTTCCTATTCTTTACCTGTAACTTATTTATGTCTTTCCCTCTTTAAAGTGGGTATTTTGTAGACTGCATATTGGGTTTTGCATTTTTAGGTAACCTGTCAATGTCTGTCTTTTAATTGGTATGTATAAATCATTTACATTTCATGTTGTTATTGATATGGTTGGATTAAAATCTGCCATCTTGCTAGTTGTTTTCTGTTTTCTATATTTGTACCATATGTTCTTCGCTTATTTTTTCTGCCTGCTTTTGGATTGAGTTTTGTTTTGTTTTTTTTAGCTGGCGGCAGCTCAGCTCAGGCTGGGAATTGAACCGATGACCCTGTTGCTCAGAGCTCGCACTCTTGAGCAAGCTCTTAACCAACTGAGCCACTCGGCTGACACTTTGAATATTTTTTGTGATCTGTTTTATCTCCACTGTTGGCTTATTAGTTATACCTTTTCTTCTTCTCTCTCTTTTATTTATTTTTTTTTAGTGGTCACCCTAGTTTTACAATGTACATCTTTAATCACAGTCTACTTTAAGTACTATCACATCATTTCACATGTAATACCCTTACAACAGTATAACTTCCAATTCTTCCTTCCTATCTTTGTGCTATTGTTGTTATACATTTTACTTTTATATATGCTATAAATCCACAATGCATTGCTACTGTTTTTGCTTTAGGCAATCAATTATATTCTAAAGCAATTAGAAATAAGCAAAACACCCCTCTATTTAAAAAAGTATTTACCTCAGACCATTTGATGTTGTCCGACAACTCTTGGAGGCTCTATTGTTTTTATTTTTTCACTTTTTCCCATTTTGATTCTTACAGTTATCATTTCTCTGGTGAAATTCCACATCTGTTCCTGCATGCTGTCCAACTTTCCCATTAGAACATTTACTATATTAATGTTAACCTAAAAATAAAAGGCCAGTGTGAGAGGCAACAAGCATTTGAGATCCAAAAGAATATCACTGATTTAGGTAGAGACCCAGAGAATGTTCCAATTAGGTGGTGAAGACAAGGGCTATTTGTAAGAAAGAGAGAGCAATAATTACGTGAATAGAAGGAAGGAACTTCTGTGGGTGTTAATAAGCTAAGGGAGGAATTTCTATACATGCAGATAAGCTAACATAGTGGTGCTAATTCTAAAGAAGATCTTGTAAATTTCATCTGCTTTCCTGTTATCTTTGCAAACAATTGTTTGGAATACAAAGCTGCTTTAGGCCCAGTCCAAAGGTTATTTTGCCCAGTTTTAACATTCCGAAGGTTTGAGGAGTAAGACTTGGAAGGCAGTTCCTCTGGGATGGCAACTCCTACTCCATGTTAAAGTGGATCCATTTATCTTATTTTTCACATAATCATAGTTATTTTAAACTCCCTGTCTGGTAATTTCAATATCTGGGCCATATCTAAGTCTTATCCTATTGATTATTTTGCCTATTGATAGTGGGTTGGTTTTCTTGCTTTTTTGTATTGCTTGTAAGTTGTTATTGATTGCCAGATATATGTGGAACAGTAGAGACTGAGGTACGTAGCATTTATTCCGGAAACAGTGTACACCTCTTCTTTTGTTAGGCTGTTAGTGTGGGAATTTGAGTCCTTTAGGAGGTGAGCTGTTGCTATGGTTACCTTAGGTGTACCAAGGGCTTCAAATTCCTCTGGCATTTCCTTGCAGCTTAGGATTAGTTTGCTGGAAGGACAGCATTTCCTCAGTGTTTATGCTCCACCATCAGCTTCTTTCTGCACTTATGCCTCAAGGCATATTCTGCCACAATAGTCTTGTTGCTGGGTACTTGCTAACCTGGTGGTAGGGGGCAGAGGGGTTCTCTATTGTCTTGGTTCAGCCTCAGTCTTAGTCAGGCCCTTTTTCTCTGGGTCTGAGTGTGTGTGGATCTTTCTGGATGATCCTATCCCTCCCCCAGGCTTAAAGGGTGGTTTTATTTTTCTTTCACCATGCGCCCAACTGCCCTGGGAGTGACCGAGTTTGCTGCCCTTTCCCCAGGGGGTGAAGATTTTTTATTCTTTAGAGAGGTGACCAGGTAGACCTTTGTATTTTTCCCAAACTAGAGACTGCTTTCTCCAGGATAGCAGTACTGAGAGGCTTTCTCTAGTCTCCTGCCTAGTATTTCTTTTTATTTTTTTAAACTTTATTGGGGAACAGTGTGTTTTCCCAGGATCCCAGCTTCAAGTTTTCCCAGCTTCAAGTCAAGTAGTTGTTTCAATCTAGTTGTGGAGGGCGCAGCTCACTGGCCCATATGGGAATTGAACCAGCAACCCTGGTGTGAACCCACGGTCTAACTACCTGAGCCAACCGGCCGCCCATGCCTAGTATTTCTTATAAGTATTCACTGAGTTCTGTGAAGAAAAACCTTTGAGTGTCTATGGCTCTTATGAACCCACACTTGACCTTTAGTAATTCATTAAAAATTGCACCTGAATTTTTCTTTTCGTCCTTGATGCTGGTCCCATCATTCTCCCTCTGCCACAGATGAGCCAGAACTTGCATCTCTCCTTGGAGGTGTAAGGAGAGGTTTTCCCTTCAATTGGTTGTCCTGTAACCTCAGTTCTCTGATGGCTTCAAGAAAAGTTATGGTTTTGTAGATTATCTGACATTTTCATGTTATAGGAGTGAGAGCAATGCTTTCCTCAGCGTTCCACATTCTAAATGGAAGCTTGAAGTTGAGGCAATTTCATTTTATATTAGATTTTATTTTCCAGTGAAAGGAGTTTATGTCTCTTTTCCCCTTCTCTGTGATGCTGTGATTAAATAAATATATATATTTGGTCTTCATCCACTGTCTCTGGCACACAGCTCCTGTAATTTCCTATATAAGAGCCATGGAGTTATTTTTTGTTATAATATTTAGTTTTGTTCCTGAAGTAGCTCCAGAGCAATAAAGGTGAAATGGATTTTTTTGTTATTTATATTACAAATTCCTTTCAACACTCTCAAGTTTATGTTAATCTGGTGATTTTTGGAAAGCATCTACATCCTCTGAGAATGGGGGCTGGTTGTGAACTTTGTGAACTTTCAGACAAGTCCCAACCTTTGGGGAGGGGAGAGGAGCTGGAGGTTGGATCAATCACCAGTGATCAATGATTTAGTCATTCATGCCTTTGTAATGAAGCCTTCATAAAAATTCCAAAAGGATGGGGTTAGAAGTGCATCCAGGTTGGTGAATATGTGAAGGTGCTGGGAGAGACGTGCATCCAGAGAGAGCACGGAAACTCCATGCCCCTTCTCACTTACTTTGCCTTAAGCATCTCTTCCATCTGGCTGTTCCTGAGTTATATCCTTTTCTAATAAACTGGTAATCTAATAAGTTTTTCTGAAATCTGTGAGCTCATCTTACAAATTAATTGAACCCAAGGAGAGTAGTGGGAACCTCTGATTTGTAGCCAGTCAGTTAGAAGCACTGGTAACAATCTGGACTGGCGATTAGCATCTGAAGTGGTAGTAAGGGGCAGTTTAATAGGACTGAGTGAGCCCTTAACCTGTGGGACCTGATGCTATCTCCGGATAGATAGTGTCAGATTGAGTTAAATTGTAGGACACTCAGCTGTGTCGTAGAATTGCCTGATGTGTAGAAAATCCACATATCTGGTGTCAGAAGTCCAAAAAGAATACCTGATTGCTTCTCTCTCTTACCCCCACCTCACCCTCCAGTTAGGTCTGATGGAATAAGGGAAGGCTGGAATGGTCACTTGGGCCAGTTTTTCTGCTTGCCTTTGTGTTCAGTTGGGTGAAAAAGGACAGCCTAGGTCTCTTTGCACCTGACTCTTATGTGAGAATGTGGGCGCTTCAGCTGTTTCCTGATTTTGTTTTCATGGATGCTTGGGCTCACCTGACAGACACGTAGAAACAAATATGTTCCCATGTGCCTGCATAGTGAAATGAGCTTGGCTTGGTGCCAGGAATAAAAGAAAAAGTGGTGCCACCCTAAAGCCAGGCCTCATCTAAGCAGAGGTAGGTTGGCTAAACTCCCCTGGGAGTGAAGGAAGGCTTACTTGTGCCCCAGAGGAGTTTTTTCACTTGGGCTCAGGTCTAGTCTCTGAGTAGGGACTGGGACAGGTAAGGCAGGAGTTTTCGGTGGGGCTCGTGGAGACGAGTTTTCCCTGAGAACTATTCTTGAGTGGCCGTGGTTTCCTTGCTTGGAGCTCTGTGAGGCAAAGTTCTGGCACATCCATCCATCTCTGTTGAGTCCATGAGAGGCTTCTGGGAAGATGATGTATTAATCCCGTTCTTATCCATGGAAGTTATCTCTGTGACCTTAAAGGACTAACTCCTGGGTGGGAATCAAATGATCTACCAGATTCCTTTCTCCAGAGATGAGTTAGGAGTAGGGGATCTGAATTCTGACTCCAGGGGCACAGGAATTGAGGGAAAAGGCCATGCTGAGTGGGAGGTCAGGAAGGTACTTGTCTTTCTTTGACAGATTCTGGGTCCTACGTAGGTAAGTTGGTGTGGAATCCAACTTCCTTGTGGTTTCTGGACTGACCCAACTCTAATCTAATCCAAAGGTGAGAGAGAGAGAAGGAGCAAGGAGAGAGAGAGAGAGAGAGAGAATGAGAATGAGAATATGAATGCATATGTATATCCATCCCCTTATAGGATGCCTTCCAATGCCAGTGTGGATAAGAGAAGCCTTATAGCTTTGACTGGGAGTCAAGACTCCTGGGTCCTGTTCATAGAGAATCCTTTTGCAGCCCCAGATGATAGTGAGGGGCATGTTGAGGAGGAAAGCAAATAAGCCAATAACAGATGAGCCCCCAGTTAGGATGCCCTCTGGATGTTCTTTCTCTATCTGGTCTTATGTTATTCCTCTCTTCTGGGCACTTTGGAAAAAGAAAGGTGTTGAATGGGCAAGCAGCAATGTAGGAAGGAAGGTAGGTATTGTGGACACAGCAACATATGGGTGTGTATTTTCTTGCAGTTCCTCGGCTTGGTCCAGTCTCTGCAATAGCATGTGCCCTTGTCTTAGCATCTTCCTAGCCCTTACCACCACCTACTCATGTTCTTTGCCAGCCTGAGAGTAGCTATAGACCTCTCCACATGTGGCTAGACACTGCAAAAGTCCCTGTTTGTGTTTAGATGGAGAAGAGTGGGCAGGATTACCTTGGTATGGACAGTGAGAAGCCTGTCTGCCTGGCTAGGGCTGTGAACCTGGTGCTGGGACTCTGGTCTTCTCTGCAGAATAGGTTTGCAGGTTTTAAGATGGTAATCACAGAGCAAAAATTACATTCCAGCAAGAATCTGTGCTATGGATAAACCTAATGGGCGGCTGACTTGGGCATCAACCTCTTGGAAGTTGCCATCATATTGTGCCTGATCTCTCCTGGTTTCATCCTTGGGAGCAGTAGAGGTCTGCCTACCTCCATTTCCCTGAGTCCTGTGGTAGAAACTGATACAGGCTCAGAGTATTTAGGGCTGTGTATGAGGCATTTTGTTCCTGTACAAGAGGTGGGCAGGGAAACCTGCCTGCCTTGCAGGTCTAAACCAGAGCCTCACCAGCTCCTGCCCTAGACTGACATACTTATATTCTTTGCCAGGCCGTAGTAAACACGGGTGTGAAGGAACCGTTTGCCATGGAAGCCAAGGAGCTGGAGAGCCCTACGCCTACATATCATTTTATTCCTGAGGCTGACCAGCCCAGGGAGGAAGATGGCAGCATGTTACCTCAAAGGACCACGGAATCTATGCAGCTGAAGAAGGAGATCTCTCTGCTGAATGGAGTCAGCCTGGTGGTGGGCAACATGATCGGTTCAGGAATCTTTGTTTCACCCAAGGGCGTGCTGGTATACACGGCCTCCTATGGGTTGTCACTGGTCGTATGGGCCATTGGTGGACTTTTCTCTGTCGTGGGTGCCCTTTGCTATGCAGAACTGGGGACCACCATCACCAAGTCTGGGGCCAGCTATGCCTATATTCTAGAGGCCTTTGGGGGCTTCATTGCCTTCATCCGTCTGTGGGCCTCCCTGCTAATTGTTGAGCCCACCAGTCAGGCCATCATTGCCATCACCTTCGCCAACTACATCATCCAGCCCTCCTTTCCCACTTGTGATCCCCCGTACCTGGCCTGCCGTCTCATCGCTGCTGCTTGTATATGTGAGTCTGGGGGCTCAGTGGGGAAAGTATGAGTGGGGATGTGGGTTACTTTAATAATGCTAATGCTACCTTATATTTGAACAGCATAGTTGCTCTTTTGGAGGGAAGAGAGGTATCATACCTTTTGAAGAAGTAATTTCACCAGTTATTTGGTCCTGAGATAGGTAAGGGTAAAAGATAGGGATGGGAGAAGTTTGAATCCGTTTGTGGCTTTTGGTGCCTCATGTTCCTTCCACTCCTGGCTGTCCCTGAGTTCTGTTCCCCAGTGTATGTAACAGGTTGGTGCATGTCTTATATTTGTCTTGTCAGGTGTTTTGATTGGAGTCAACATCACTAGTTGTAACTTAACCCAGAAAAAAACCATAAGTGCTGAGGCCTTTAGTCTGCTGCTCAAAAAAAAAAAAGTTATTTTGCTTCCTAGCTTTTTATCTTAAAACCATTTTAAAGGTGTCAGTGAGGAAATTGGCTTCTGTAGATTGTGGGGGTCCCAAGGCATTATCCGTCACGCCCTCAGAACCAAGGGCTACTCCTTCCTGCCACTGCCACTCTCTGTAGCCAGTTCTAAGCAGCAGGCACCACACCAAAATGGCTTTTCCCCCATTGGTGTTTCAGATTTCTGTACACTGACTTTGTAAACAAGATCTGCCTTGGGCCAGAGGAAAGTGGGTGGCTTCTACCCCATATTCAGGTTTCTGAGAACAGAATCTAAGAGATCCCAGTGGATCCCTCTTTATTTTGCCTTTTCTCTCATGAGGTGGTAAGGAGGGATTCTGTGTGAAGCCACTGAAAGGGAGAGAAGATTGCTGTGAACTTACCCAGTGTAGAGTTAGTGTTTTAGCTGAGAAGTGGCCCAGAATTCCCTGTGTTTCTTAGCACTGTGCTGCCAGAGGCACTTAATTATACTCTATTCTTTCCATATCTCTGCTTGCAAAAGCGTTGGCAGTATATGTAGTTTATCCACAGTGTTAAAAATAGACTGAGAACACTGGAGTTAGCAATAAAGGATTATATAGTACACTGTGCCTCCTAACTTTAAGGAATTTGTTAAAGACAAATGCTAAAGGGAACCGCTCCACTGATACTCCTGGCAGGAGAGAAGGTGGTACTCAGCTGTATATCTATCTGATAGGGTTTGGCCAGGGGGACTCTGGCCTGACTGAGCTCTCCAAAAATGGGAATCATTTTCTGATTATAAAACACATTTATTAAGGAGAAAAAAAACTTAGCCTCAAATCACCTTTAATCTACCACCAACAGATGAGCACTTTTAATAGTTCAATCGTGTCTTCATTTCTTTCTTTTATAGAATTGGCATCATACTTTTTATATAACTTTATATTCTGCTTTTTGAACTTAGTGTATCATGGGTTTTTCCCCTTTTTGTGGAATGTTCTTCAGAAGAAACATTTAAAAAAAATAGTGTCTCTTTTTTAAAATTAAAAGGTAATACATAGACTTGACAATTTGAAAAATGCAAAACAATAGAAAAAAGAAAATTGAGATCACCCATGATTTTATCTCCCAGAGAGGTATTGTTCTATTTATGTGAAATACCTTCCAATATTTTTTTTCTGTGCATATTTATCATTTTAAAGAAGTACCCTTGAGATCATACTCTTTGTGGTTTCTATACTGCTTTTAAAATTTTTAATATTTAATCCCTTTCATCAAATATTCTTAGAAAACATGGTTTGGGGACACATTAAGTAGTTCCTGACAGCATGGTATAGTGTTTAAGATCACAGGCTCCCATGCCGGACTAGGTTTGATTTCGGCTTTACCACTCAGTAGCTGCTGACCTTGGAGGAGTTAGTTGACTATTGCCTGGGTTTTCTTACTTATAAAATGGGATTATTGGTTGTACCTGTCTGAAGAGATTGTTGTGAGGGATACATGAATCAATACATGTATAGCACTTCTCTCCTTGGCATACAGTAAGTGCTCTGCAATATATATTACATATATATATATATATATATATATATATGTAATATATATATATATATGTTTATTTATTTATTTATTTATAAAAGATTTTATTGGGGAATTGGGGGAGAAGAACAGTGTTGGGGAATTGGGGAAGGGTAACAGCCAAGTTGTCCTTCAATCTTAGCTGTGGAGGGCACAGCTAGCTCAGCTCTCAAGTCCAGTTGCCATCCGGCCGCCCGTTGACAGCTTGGGGCTGCTCAGCTCTAGGTGCCATGTTCAATCTTAGTTGCAGGTGGGCGTAGCCCATCATCCCATGCGGGAGTTGAAACAGCAACCTTGTTGTTAGGAGCACGTGCTCTCACTAGCTGAGCCATTTTGCCACCTGTTGGCAGCAGCTCAGCTGTGGTGCAGCTCCCTGGCCCATGTGGGAATCGAACCAGTGACTCTGTTGCTCAGAGCTCGAGCTCTTAACCAACTGAGCCACTCAGCCGGCCCGGCAGTATTATAAATAATGCCACTGTGGGGATCTTTGTGTGTAAATCATTTTCACCATTTCTGCATATTTTTTAAAAAAAGATTTTATTGGGGAATGGGGGGACGGAACAGCATTGGGGAATTGGGGAAGGGGAACAGACAAGTTGCTGTTCTTTTTGTTCTTCAATCTAGCTGTGGAGGACGTCGCTTCACTAGCCATGTTGGTATTGTGATCATTGCTCTCTTCCCGGCTGAGGCAGATTGGTCACCAGCCATTGGATGGCCGCTTACAGCAGCTCATGCTGGCTGCCGGCCACTCACGGTAGGTAGCTTATGGCAGCCTACTGCATCCCCACTGCAGCCTACGCCGTTGCTGGCGACTCAAGGCAGCCCAGCTCCAGGTCGAACTGTTGTTCACCATCTTAGCTGTAGAGGGCACAGCATCACTGGCCCATGTGGGATCCAAACTGGTGGCCCTGCTGCTCAGAGCTTGAGCTCCCAAACCAGCTCTTAACCAACGAGCCACTCAGCCGGCCCTCTGCATATTTTCTTAGGGTAGGATTATATAAGAGAAATCCCTGTGTCTAAAGAAGTAACTGTAGCTCAAGAGTTTGAGCTCTGAGCAACAGCGGTTCGAGTCCAGCCCGAGCTGAGCAGCCGCTGAGCTGCCAATAGGTAGCAGGATGGCTCAGCTAAAAAAAAAAAAAAGAAGTAACTGTATTACCCACTTGCTTTCTGGAAGGTTTTGTGAGTTTGTACTCTTTTCTGAGCACCTGAGAATGCCTGTGCATTGGTGAATTCCAAGAATAACCAAGTCAAGGGGCACCTCCATCTATAATTTTTCATATATAGAAGATTTTTATTAAATCTTTTTTCCTTTATGATTTTTCCCATTGTTTTTGTGCTTCAGAAGCCCACCCCCACACCAGGAACTTATCTTCTGATTGGAGGACAGATCTCACCTCTTAGAAATCCAAGCTCATGGTATTTCATAGTTTCTTTCATTCAAATGTACTTATACCCAGATTTCTCAGGATCTGAATTCCTGCAAGGCCCCTGTCTCAGAGGCCCAGGCTTTTCCATAATGCAGGCCTGAGGGCAGGAACCTGTCAGAGGTGGGACCATATCATAAAACGATGTCACATGCTAACTGACTAGGCTTTAGGGTTCAGCTTACTTCTCTTCTTGGAACTTAGAGTATAGAATCAGGCTGATGGATCATCCAGCAAAACTGTAATGTGCTGGAGGGAGTCTCCTTGGGCAGAGGTGTCAATGAAAGCAGTCTGGGTGCAAGAGACACAAACTGGAAGAAAACAATTAGGTAATAATTAGGGAAAAACCAAAGGTCTGCACTGAATCCAGGGGCTTGGGTAGGAAAGGAGAATTAAATTAGTCTTGAAACTGAGACATGCGCGGGGTCCAGGTTGTTGGTTGGGAGATGGCCTAAAGAAGTTATCACCATGACAGGTTATACAATTAATGTTCCATTCTAGAAGAAAGGGCCCAGGCAGTCTCTGTATAACCAACTCCAGGGCAGAGCTGCAACCTGGCCCATGGGCCAGACTTGGCCCATCAGATATATTTGTTGGGCCTACACAGTGTTCTAAATAATTTTGAATTAACTTGTCAACATTTGAAAATAAGGACTTGCCCTTTCTCTTGAAAAGTCAAAATTTCTGGCAACTTGGGGCCCAAATCCCTGCCTGACACAATCAGCGGCCTTTGAGTAGTGTTGCTCCCTTTTAAATAGAGTGTATAGTTTCCAGGCCATTATAGTCCTCCACTCCCTCCTGTTTTATACCCAGACATTCTTGCCCTTGCTCATTTGTGTTACCTTCTTGGCCCCTAAAGGCATTGCTGTTTCAGATGCTGGCTTTACAGCACCCCCTCCTGCATCCCAATTCTAGGTTACACTTGGCGGTGAGATCCAAACAGCCTTTTTTGGATTTTAGGCTGTCTCAGCTACACATCCTAGAGTAGTGGTTCTCAACTGGAGTTGAGCTGGTTTGGTAAGGTCTGGGGTCATTTTTGATTGTCACAATTGCTGGGAGGGGGTGCTACTGGCATCTAATGGGTAGAGGCCAGGGGTGCTGCTGAACATCCTGTAAAACCCCGCACAACAAAGACTGACCTGGCTCAAAATGTCAAAGTGTTGAAGTTGAGAAAGTTTGTCCTAAAGGTGCATTCTGCTTATAATATGTTCTGGAGTCTTGGACTCTTCTGATGATGGGGCCTCAGGCTGCTGACTGAGCTCAGTATGCTTAGGGGTTCTTACTCATGGGACTGTAGGGGGAAATGGCAGTTCTTAAGGTCCACAGGTCCCTCTCTGGCCAGGCGTCCAGCATTGTAAGAGAACTTGATTTGACTGTAGAAGTGTATGTTTCTGGCTTAGGTATTGTCGGTCCATTTATCTTTGTAGGATCCTGTCTGTTATGTAGCCTCCCACACATCGTTGGTGAGTATTTCCCCGGAAGGTTTCAACATGGAAGTCAGTTCAGCACTGACACAAAGGCATCAAAGCAGAGTCCCTGAGGGTTTGTTTGGCAAGGCCAACAGTGAGGAGGTGGAGGAGGAACAGGAGGGGAGGGGGGAGGAGG